CGGCATACAAACTTGATTTTTTTAACCAAATCAATGACATCTTCTTATTGACATGATTTTCTTCTAAGTCTTTGTAGAATTTTCCATGTAGTTGTTTTTGTTTTAGCACACTTATTATTTTATCTATTGTGTGGGGGGTGTGGATTTCTTCGGTGTTCGACAGATTTAAGGGTGTGTGGTTCAAATCTGCTCTTGTGATGGTGCGAAACATTTCATTTCTTTCTTTCATTTATTATTATTAAGACCCACCACTGACCCGGAAATGACCGGCATTCAGGCAAGACTTCTATCATTACGGGTACTAAGACCAAGTAATGATATGCATTGATTAGATTAACAGAACAACTTTCGAGATTCTAGAATTACAGCATACAAATTAGTCTGCTATTATTCTCTAATCTCACCCCATCCCCAAAAGTCCAGCGTAACTACCGACCATTTATCCGCGCATCACATGAAAAGTGACCTACACTACTCTGACCTACTGGTGCTAATCTAATCTGACTGACATGATCAGACTGTTCAAGAAACTTACGAACAATATGACATGTTCCTAACAAAACAGCTTTTTGAATTTTGACAATTATTGAATCATTCAAATGCAAAGACTTTAAATTCTCAACTAAGCTATTTGGAACTACACCTACATTAGAGATAACTAGGGGTAGAATTGAAATTTTTTTAAGATTCAACATGGATTTCATTTCTATCGATAATTGTAGATATTTTGAAATCTTGGTGTCGTATGTTTGAATAATGTTGTTTGTGTTAGGAATAGCAATGTCAATGAGAATGGCTTCGTTCGTGTGTTTTTTGATAAGTATGATGTCTGGTCTGTTAGCTGTAATGTTTAAGTCTGTAAGTATTGTGCGATCCCAGTATAATTTGTATTTGTTATTTTCAAGGAATGGAGACGGAATGTAAGTGTAATAGGGTGTCGTATCTTCGATTAAGTTCATAAGTGTTGCTAATTCTTTGTGAATGATTTTGGCTGCGTTGTCGTGTCTAGCTTTGTAATCAGTTTGTGCTAGGATGCTGCAAGAAGAGATTATGTGTTGGATCGTTTCAGGTTTTGCTTTGCATAGGCGACAGCAGTCGTTTTTTATGTTCGGATCTTTGATGATGTATTTTCTATAATTCTTGGTATTGATTACTCGGTCTTGAATAGCAAACACAAATCCTTCTGTTTCGGCATACAAACTTGATTTTTTTAACCAAATCAATGACATCTTCTTATTGACATGATTTTCTTCTAAGTCTTTGTAGAATTTTCCATGTAGTTGTTTTTGTTTTAGCCCACTTATTATTTTATCTATTGTGTGGGGGGTGTGGATTTCTTCGGTGTTCGACAGATTTAAGGGTGTGTGGTTCAAATCTGCTCTTGTGATGGTGCGAAACATTTCATTTCTTTCCGCTCGTTTCAAGAAATACTTCTTCAAATCTGAGATTTGTCTCTGATATAAGTTTTCTAAGTTCTGGAAACCCCTTCCTCCATTCTGTCTTGGTAATGAGAATCTTTCAATCGACGATTTTGGGTGATGCCTTCTATACTGTGTGAAGATTTTCCTTGTTGCGATGTTTAAATTTTCAAGATCAGTTTTGGACCATTTAATGACTCCAAAAGAATATGTTAGCAGTGGAACGCAGAATGTATTTACTGCTTTCATTAAATTTTTTCCATTTAACTGTGTCTTCAATATTAATTTTAATCTCGCTACGTATTGATCTTTCAACTGTGTTTTCGTTTTGGTATGATTGATGTGGGAGGATTGACAGAAACCCAGATATTTGTATGTATCGTTTCGTTCTTGGGCTTCAATTATTTCCTTATTCTGTGTTATATGTGGTACTTGGTGAAACACGCCTTTTCTGATTGCTTGGGTCTTACATTTCTCAATACCAAAGGACATACCAATATCACCGGAAAATTGTTCAGTCAGATTTAATAGGTTTGTTAACTGATTTTGTGTACTTGCATATATTTTTATGTCATCCATATACAGCAAGTGACTTATTCTGTTTTCTCTTTGTTTGTTAATTCTTATATTGAACCCATAATTGCAGCTGTTCAGGATATCGGAGAGGGGATTTATTGCTAAGCAGAACCATAACGGGCTAAGAGAATCGCCTTGAAAAATTCCTCTTCGGATCATTATTGGGTCTGACTGAATTGTTTGTTCATTTAAGGTTATTTGGAGGGTGGTCTTCCAAAATTCCATGGAACATTTGAGAAAAGTGCAGATTTTAGTATCAATCTTGTATAATTCCAGAATTTTGCATAGCCAGGAATGAGGGACAGAATCGTAAGCTTTCTTATAATCAATAAAAGCAGTATATATGTTTCGGTTTTCTTTTCTAGCTTGTTCACAGATGATGGAATCTATGATTAATTGCTCTTTGCAGCCAAAGGATCCTTTAATACATCCTTTCTGTTCTTCATTAATGATGTCAGAGTTAAAACAGTGTTGATATATTTTTTGTGTAATGCATGAGGTTAATATTTTATAGATTGTCGGTAAACATGTGATAGGTCTGTATTTTGATGGATTTTTTGTGTCGTTATCTTTAGGTTTTAAGTATGTTACACCATGACATAAAAATGTTGGAAAAGAGGATGGGTCAAGAAGGAACTGATTTAAGTGATGTAGTAAATGAATATGTACACAATTTAATTTTTTTATCCAAAAATTATGGATTTTGTCTGGTCCTGGCGATTTCCAGTTGTGTGTCTTATTGATGGTATTTATTAATTCGGCAAGTGTTATCTGATGATCATTCATTGGTGTAACTGTGGATACTTTATTATATATATGAGGAATCCATTTGGCAGATTGGTTAAATTCAAATTCTTGAGACCAAAGTTTTGACCAAAATGTTGTTACATCTTGTGAACTTGGTAGTTCACCGGATAATTGAGTTTTGCTTGAATTAGTTAAATGTTGATAGAATAGTTTTTCGTTGTTTAAAAATTTAGTATTATGAATTTTTCTGAGATGTGATTGTTTGTATCTTTTAAGTCTTTTGCTATATAAGGAAAGCTTTTGTAATAGTGTATCTTTAATTTCGGATAGTGTTGTGTTGTACTCATCGTAATCAGTTTGATGAAAATTATTGTTGGTCAGTATCGAATGCATACATGTCATGATGTGTGGTGTTTTAACTCCTCTAAGGTACTGTGTTATTTGACCCAGTTGTTTTCTAATGTTATTAATTTTATAATTTAACCGTGTTTCCCAATGAGGGGTGGAGGGTATGCGATTGTTGTTTGTATTTATTATGTTATCTTTACATGTGTTAATTTGAATACAAGTTAAAGCTGCACAGTAGATAATTGTATGAAGTTTTTCAAAAGAGATCGAGTTTGTGAGATATTTTGGTAAAATGAAGGAGTTCATTATTTCTACAATTGCCAGAAACTTTTTAGAATAATACTGGCGGGGAAGTGATTGTCTATCATTTGGTTTTAATTTAGAACATGTTTCGAAAGTTAATTTAAATTGGTCTTCAATTTCATTTTGGAAATTAATGTGAAATTTAAAATTTTTGTTTACAGTTTTGATTAATGTGTCTTCTGTGTTGTAGTACGTGTTTTGTAGATTATCTGTGATGTTAATTTGGTTTTGGATTGTTCTTGATGAATTGTTAAGTGATTTGTCAGTTAATGTATTGGTAATTTCTGTTACGGTTGTGATCTTATTTTGAGGTGTTTTGTTTAATAAATCTTTAGTAAATCTGTCAGTTCGTGTTTCTGGTGTATTTAATATACTACTATTACTATTTTGTGGTATAATTGGGATCTTATTTTGAGATGTTGTTTTTGACAAATTGGTGACAGATGTGTCAGTCAGTAATGTATTTGGTACTGTGTTGTTGATATCTTCAGGAAGTGGATTAATGGTTTTAGAAAGTTCATTTTTTAATTGTTCTAGAGTAAGTTGAGGTATGTAGTTATTTTTAACTATAGCTCTACGTTGATCTGCTAAATTTTGAATGGTAACTGGAAAATTTGGGTACTCACGGCTGAAGGCTTCGTGTAGATCTGCACGATAATTACTTACATCAGTTTCATTGTTTGTAATTTTATAATATAAGCGCATAATATGTAAATTCATGTCTAGAGACCATTTTTTACGCTTTTTCGGTTCTTCTCGTCTTCTAATGGTCTGAGGCTGATTTGTCTGAGAAACATTAGAGACTAATACGTTGTTAATTGTCCTTGTGGTAGTGTTTCCCGAGGTGATGCCACTTGCTCCATCGACCTCTTCGGAGACTGCAGTAATAGGTGTTCGTCGGATTTCGAGTTGAACATTCTCCGTTGTAGGCGAAACAATTTGGTTTAGACTCATTTTTTAGTTGGAAATGTCAGCGTTGACAGTTGATTATGAAAAAATGAAATTAAGTGCAAATATCGAGTTAAATAGGTGGTTTTAATAGTAAATACAGTACCTTGCACTATTATGAGTCCTTTTGAGTCAAATAAAGGTATTGAATCGAGTTTTATCCAAAGATTCCGCCTTGTTAAGAAATTTACGAACAACCAAAGGTCACTTTTTTTTTTTTTTTTTTTTTTTTTTTTTTTTTTTCATTATTATTATTTACTGAAAAACTATGAATACCTAAAGTTGACACAATGAAGAACACCAGGAAAAAAAAATGTTGGTAACGGAATACTACTAATTTCACCTTTCTTAGGTTTTGAACCTGCTAATTGTCATTAAAATTGACATTTGAATTTTACAAGTGACAGAATAGTTACTAAAATAAATTACTAAAGTCCATGTTTACCATTCAAAATCCATAATTGTTACATTGAGGACATTTACGAAGATCAACTGCCAAGTGGTTTTTCTCATTGCATGTATCAATGTTAAATAAGTTAAGTTTAACATTCCGCACAAGCAGAAGTTTTTTTTATTTATTCTGATAATTTGTGAAAAAAACTTTTTTTTAGAACGACCACGATTTTTCTAAGCAAAATTTAGTCTTCCTGGAAAGCTTACCTCATTTGTCTACATTTACAATCATGCACAAATAAACACAAAGGAAACAACCGCACAAAAGCTGGTCGCACATGTAACAAAGAAATTTTTGAAAATTTAACTTTTTTTAAAATTTGAGCCATTTCTGTAGATTCTGTATTTGTACACAGTTTAACAAATACGCAATTGTCAATCTGCTGCTCAGATTAGATGACTGCAAATGAACTGGCTTTCAAAGTTCATTCCCAAGAGGAGGCTTGTGGGTGTAAATAAAAACCACGCTAATAAGTCTACAACCGCAAAATTATCAGTAAAATTAATTCAAGGTTACTATAAGTTCTGCGTAATGAACGTCATGTTTTTCTATTCTTTTTGAAACACAACATTAAATTCCAAAGTAAGGTCGTTCAACGATACGATTTTACAGTTTTTGCCAAAAATATCTGGACTTTGTCGTAAATTTGGAGCACGCTGTACATAGTTTTGTTTAACGAATGCAGTGACACCTATCGGTTGTTAAGTGTAGCTGACGAATACAGGTTTCTAATATTCATTTCATATAAATTTGCGTTTTGTTTGCTTTTTTTCGCAATAATCGTGAAAACCGTTTATAAAAAACGCATTTTTTTAAGAAATAAAAATTTGATGCACATAAACAAACACAATTAAACGATTGTCCCTAAATTGTTTGTTGCTGGATCTATTTTTGGAAACATTGTTGATCACACAAACTTAAATTTGCACTTACCTCACACCGGCGTTGCAACCTTGTGGAATTTTGTTTACGACCTTATCACTATTATTTATTGCGAACCGGCAGCTCAAGTACAAGCAGTGATAACGCGTCACGTCAAATCCTCTACCTCGCGAAAATGTCAAAATTTTAGTATTCCATTGCCGGATAGTTCGTAATAATTCCATTCGTAATACACGTCGCCCCCATTAAATCACGCCTCCACCCAGAATCCTGTTTCGGTGTCAGTATGTACCGCAGGCGACTGTCCCAACCATTCCCCACCTACCCTAACCTCAAAACTTTGCTTTTAGAAAACAAGAGTATAAGCGACCGTTGCTATAAATTAGCTTTCATGATTCGCCAGATCTCGCCCCTGAAGAACATCTACGAAGTGAGAGAGCAAGTGCAAGTGCTTTTCAGGAACAACAAAGTCGTGGAAATTCTCAGAGAGCGCTTTTCGTCGGCTGTCCCAAGATCTCTGAAAGACCACTCGACAAGTGTGCTGCGAGTATGGGCTCATCAGTGCGAGTGTGTGCTTGCACAGCGGCTGCGAAGGGGCCAACAGATATATTGCTTGTATTCGAGACTATGGGAAGAGAGGGCGTTGCGAGAATTCCTCAAACAGATGAGGCACAGAGTAGGAATCAGAGGACGCGATTTTCTCCTGGGGGCCCTCGGCGTGGCCGCTTACGACTGGCGGGCTAACCGGATCCCTGAAAGTGATATTAGAAAACATTCAAACGAATTAGATTATATTTATAAACTTAAAGACAAGACTTTATGCAAGAAATGTTCAAAGAACTCTAAAATATGTCCATGTAAAAAAGGTGACAAGGAAGAGGTGGAAAAACCGATTGTAAAAGCATATGATGACTGGAATCTGTTTATTGAAAAGAGTGATTTGGTTGTGTGGAGAAGACCACACAGTTCTGGAAATTTCGAATACAAGGTTTATGGATCCTACACAGATGTCACAGCTGAGGATTTCTTGAATGTTCAAATTGACGTAGATTATAGGAGGCAGTGGGACAACACTGCTGTAATGTTAAATGTTGTAGAAACAGACCCCGATCCCGCGTCAAACAGTGACATTGTTTACTGGGAAATGTTGTGGCCAGTAAGTAATGTTATCGATGATGTTTTTCTGTAGTAGTAGAATATCATTTTGACAATGAAATTGACGGTAACGTGTATTAAGTGTGAAGCTTAAGTCAAATGTACATAAGTCTTATAAAGCCATGGAGTTGTCCAATCAAGTTGGTTATTGATTATGCTATAATTTCGAGGTCAGTTATAAAAAAGTAAAACAACTTTCAACAACGTGCTACATAAAAATATTTTAATTATTGGTATTTATAGCTACAAGCGTCCTCAATTTTTATGGCCAATATGTCTTAAAGTTTGTATACAATGATTTATCCAAACAAACATGTCAAATAATTGCTTCAAAATTGCCTGATACTAGCAGTTTTTATCTTAAAATACGATGCTATCAATTTTTGACATCGTTTTTTTCTGATATGACGTAGTCAGTGGTTTATTTTAAAATTGAGTTTATATTTGTTTGGCTTTGGAAGTCAAGGGTCACTATATAAACAAAAAAATCCCAACCAAAAATTGACTGGATTTAAGATAAAACCGGACTTCCACGGTATGTGGTGCGAAATACGACACATAGGTAAGCATATATGTGGTTAGTTCAAACATTTGAACATCAGTCGACCTTGGAGATCCGTCCTTGAACCTCTGAAATAAGTGAACATAAATTATTCAATAATTCGATAATTACAGGTGTAAAATTTTGGCAGCCACCTAAATCCTTAAAAAGCGTAAAAATTAAAAACTCGGGTTAATAAAATAAAGAAAACGGCGCCTATTTGATCTTTTTGGGATTATTAGGGCTAGCAGAAGGGCACTAAAATTTCCATAATTACATATTTAACAGTTTTACTAGAATACGAAAAAATAAGGCTCCCGTTTCCGTCTGTCCGTCCATCTCTCCGTCTGTCTGTCGTCCCGTATTTGTATTAGACAGATATTTGTATTTATACATATTAGGACTATGTAGATGAAAATTAATGACTGAGTCAATTTATTTTATTGATTAAATCAAGAATTACAAAACCGAATACTTTTAAATCTTGTAGATGTTTTGAAGTTATTGTAAGCATGGTAAATGTTTAAGTAAAATGTATCTGTCTATCAACCCCAAAAAACTGATTACGTCATCTGAAAATTTTGCCGAATAAATCCTGTCTAAAGTGTGTAATTGTAATTATCATTGCATTCATATTTTTTAGATTGGCTTATACAGGTGACTCAAAAAAATTAATGAATCAGTCAACTTATTTTATTGAATAAATCAATACTTTGACACCTTGCAGACGTGTTACAGTTATTGTAAACCTGGTAAGTTGTTAATCAAAATATATGTTTATTCCTCCCAAAAAAATTGATGACGTCATCTCAAAATTTTGCCACATAAGTGGTACCCAATATGTGCAAAATATGATGAGTTTTTACTTGTGATTTATCATTGTATTCATATTTTTTAGTTTTGCTTAAACAGGTGGGTAAAAAAATTACCTAATGAATGAATCAATTTATTTTATTGATTAAATCAGGAACGACTCACTCCATATTCTCAGAAAATTTTGAGAATACAATACTCTTTATTTTTAGTATTGTACTCCACCAATCCGAATTGACATACGTGTCCTTGTTTTTTCTTACACTGGTAATACGCTGTGACTACTTTTCTTTTGAGTTGTGACTAGTATTATCTATGTTGATGATAAAATAAGAATTATAATATTCAGAACATTTTGTTCGATTGTGGTTTAATTAATAATTTTAGTCCTGTGTTTTGAGAAGACAAACTCATTCAAATCAAACCAATTTCTACGTGATATTCTTCCGATGTATAAACATAAACACTCGAAGTTAAGCATGTTATAATTATTGAGAGGACAAGTTTTCGCGTTGGTTGTCTGCTTTAAATATGTTTTACATGAGATGCGGGGGTGTTATTTATGCCGCTGGTTTTTGATTTTATAGAGGTTATCAAAAAACAAAAATAGCAAAATTAAAATTAAACTTTATATTTAATAAACACTTGAGCGTCAGATTGCTGTTACCTAGTGTTGAAGAACAAGAGTTGTTAGAGATGGATTATTTTAAGTCAACATGGTGACTGTCAGTCAGTAGCGTAACATGCACAATTTAGAAGGGGGTGGTTTTTAAGTTTATTTTTTTAATCGCAAACAATAACAGCCGGAAACATAAACTTAAGTGAACTGGTCAACACGCTAGCACGAATGCGGATGAATCTATTAGGCACTAATCGAAACAGGTCGCAGGTTCACTATGACAGAAAAACGAGGGTGCGCCCATTCGAAAATGCTGGATATGTTTGTACTTCAGGAGCGAGGGAAGTTCTATCGAAACAACTTTCGACCAATTTTTTTATTATTATTGTGTTGAACGACGCTTTGCTGTGGAGTTTTTTCAGAGAAGATCTTGGTTCTAGAATTTTTGCCCCTGGAACAAACGCTAAGGAAATATTTGGCGAATAGCTAATATAAATAATTTTCTTGACGTTTTATAGCTCGTAGAATATGCAAAGATATGTCTTCCATCTGTCTATCGTCTGTTCACCACATCGTTAGACACATTAATTTCCTAAATTATGGGACTGATTATTGTGAAATTTCAATTGTATTTTAAGAATATTGTGTAGGTGGTAAAATGCCAACCAAAATTTATTTATCTGTTGTCCTCCACCAAAAATTGAATTACGTAATGTAAAAATTTTGCGAATAAATCCTAAAAAGTATAAAATAATATGGTTCTAAACTTAGTATTATAATTATTTTATGTATCCTTAAATACAAACGAACAAATTCATTTTTCGAAAACTTGTAAAATTTTACTTATTTTATGATAATCGCTATCAGAATACCTGTCCGACAATCCGCCACCTAACTAACCCGCCCATGAGGTATTTGATGCGTTTGAGATATCGACTAGACGAAACACGTGGAAAATATTACACAAAAAAAATATTTGAAAAGTAATTGTGATAAAAATCAAGGCAGATTCATAAACCACTAGTAGACAATTATATTATTTTATAAAATTTAGGTAAGCTTTACTACCCAACGCGATGAGACGTCATCTATTGGTGGTGGGGATAAGATGATTGCAATAACAGTGTAAGGAAAAATTGGTGAAAAGTTATTTCGACAAAACTTCCCTCGCTCCTGAAGTACAGTCCAAGAAATCCCACATCTTTGAAAGATTATAAAATTTGATTTTGTTTCGTCTATCGGTGGCGTCAATTTTTATCAGACACTAATTTCCGAAACTGCTGGACCGATTGTTGTCAAATTTTGCATATACAGCGTGTTATTGAAAAGTACGTACAAAATAAAATCGGCAATTGGTCTCGAAGTATGGGTGCTAAAAGTAAAAAAAGGTCAGGTAAAAGTGTTCTCCTTTTAGAGATAAAAATTATTAAAATTTATGTCCAAATTACTTATACGCCTCTGATGAAAAGGTCATCTTTCGTTTCTATAGCAACAGAAGGGTTTCTTATTTTTTTGTTATTGTTACAGTTGCTAGGATTTACTAAAATAAATTAATTTTCCCTATTTATCTTTCAGCAGCGCCTAAAAAGGTTGGGTAAGGGTTAATTTTCCCCTTATAATTTTGAAAACACAAAATAAGTTTTTCAGACGTACCTTTCAATAACACCTTGTATATTAGATATATCATCTAGATGGTAAAACCAAAATTTGCCTTAATCATCCCCCACCACCAATTTGATGACATCATTTCAAAGAATTCTATTTTAAAATCAGTTAAATGTTATACAACAATATACTACTATAGTTGTGGTCTAGGAATCCGCTTTGAGCTTTTTCCCTAGACGTCCAAATTTTCGCAAAAAAGTTAGCACAGCATAATATCATTTTACCACTATCTCAGAATATAACCGTCCCACCCTGCCGCTTTGGTGTCAGCACGCGGACCGGCAATCGCACGTTCGATGCCAAATTTGGGCAAATGACATTTACATGAAAGTTATATTTTTTTGCTTTCCATTGATCTGTAGGTAAGCGAAGAAAAATGTTGCTACCCCGATGGGAATTGAACCACACGTCACCCGCTTGCCAGGCTTATCTTTCTCTGCTTACTACTACTTATTATTGTATCGCCACAGATCTATGAGAACCTGATTTGCTCATTTTGCTCAAAGTTTTTTTGGAAACGACTGTATTACCTATGTTGATGACGTCATCACAAATGTTTTATTGCTCAAATTAAGAACGAGTTACCCTATTTTCTCGAAAATGTGGCATTACGTACGTTTTTATGTAATAATGATAAAATAAGAATAATAGGTAATAATATTCAGAACATTTTGTTCGACTGTGGCTTAATCAGTAATTTTACTCCTGTGTTCTTACGAGACAAACTCATTCAAATCAAATTTCTACGTGACATTCTTTCGAGGTATAAACATGAACACTCGAAGTTAAGCATGTTATTATTGCTGAGCGGACAATTTTTCGCGTTGGTTATCTGCTTTAAATATGTTTTACATTAATCATACTTTTGTACTTCAAGCGTGAGAGAAATTCTGTGGAAATAAATTTCGACCATTTTTTTGTGATTGAAAAACCACAAGAATAGACTCAACACGGATTCATAAACCACTCAAGTGCAGGAGTGTATTTACTATTGGAAATTTTTGAGATGACGTCATCTCATTGTTGGTGGGAAATTTTGATTAGCGTTTTCCATCTACACATTACTCATAACTAGAGAGCGGATTTCGGTCGGGCTAGACAAGGCCAAACTCGGTACGGCTCGTACGGGATGGGAATTCATTGCAGTTACGGGCTGCACTTCGTTTATTTGAGATTAGAATACCGCTGCTTCGTTGCACTCTGCTGTTATTTCCAGTTCTCATTTACTTAGCCGTTTGATTAATAAATCGTTAATTGTACTTATGGAATAAGTGATATTCAAATTCAGTGATTATCTATCACCCGCTACTGAGTCCCGGCGATCCAGCGCGTCCCCACCTATAATCGTGACGTAGCCCGACAGAAATCCGCTGTCTACTCATAACATACACCACACACCTAATAACAATCGGTCCTGTAGTTTGGAGATGATCTGTCTAATAATAATCTGGACAGACGGAAATGGGAGACCTATTGTTTCATATTCTAGAGGTCATGATACGTCTAGAAAACATGAAGCTAGCCATTCGTCGGATGAATCCTATTATAATACTTCCGAATCAATTTTGTTGATTAAATCAAATAGTTTATCTAATTTTCTCCAAATCTGGGGACACAGTACAATTTGTATCTCAATTTATAGACGTTTTATAATCCAATACTGGATCTAGTTATTTGATTGTACCGACTTCAGAAGCAGGGAAAATCACAGCTAACTGGGATCAATGTTTGGTCATGTGATACACTGATACACAATATCAATGTGTTTCGTGAACAAAATTGACATCTTCCGAACATCATGCTTTATATGCTAATCATGCTACCAAAAGATCTCGCAACTGCTGTGAAGTTTAATCGTGTTCTAATTTATTTAAATACATGTAATATATAATAGTATATTATTAACCAAGGTTGTGAAGCGAAAGTGACTTCAGAACCGTGGTTAATATACTATTTTTTTCACTAGTAGAAACCGTAAGACAATAAACTCAAAAAACAAACCTTCAATTTTTGTCGTAAAATGATTTTGTTTTGATTTCTAATCAAACTTAACTAAATCTTCAACACAAAGAAAACCGTTTACACTTGTCGCTGAATCATTTTATCTTCCACCGTCTACCAACTACCATGCGTATACTCGCGTAATGTTAGTAGCACACATTTATTCATTTTTTAAGAAATAATCACAGCAAGTATTTCATGCATAACCTCAATCTTCTTTTTGAACCTTGGTCGCAAAAGTTGAACTTTACTACCTCCAAAGAAGTCGACAATTGCATGCTTCATGGCTACTAGTGAAAAAAAGTTTTTAACCCTGTGTAATATTTTACTATATGCCAATGTCCTTTATTGATAGCATTTTTCTGTACAATTTTCATCTATTAACCATTACCATTTTAAACAAACCGAAATTAGCCAATTATAGCATGTCGTTTTAATTAATTAATTAAGTAAAATTAACCAACATAAGCTTTCCTTTTTAGACTTTATTTGCAAACCGAGACTACGTCTTCAACCGACGTTACCTCGTAGACCGAAAAAGCAAAACTCTATTCATAATGAGCAAATCCACAAAGCACGCCAGCTGCCCAAAAGACAGCACAAAATACAGAATAGAGGACTACTGGTCCATCATGGTAATTAAACCATACACTGAACTCAACAAACCCGGAATCGAATTCAGTCTCACGTACTTCGACAATCCCGGAGTGAACGTACCGGCGTCCATCACGACATGGGTGGCCATGAAAGCCATGCCCGACTTCCTGGAGCGACTCAGAGACGCCTCCCGGAAGTACAAAAAATACTGCAAAGACTCCGGCGTGTGCCAAATCTGCAACATTTTCGACGCGCACGAACTCGGCAGGTACCAATTCGACTGGGACTATTTCGAAGACAACATCACTGACAACACTGTATATGAAGCACATTACAAATTTAAAACACGTGAAGCCAGAGATGACGAAGAACCCGTAAAGACACCTAGTCAGTTTGGCGATGAAACACAGACACAGACAGAGAGTTCCGTCGCCACGCAGAATAGTACGAACCCGCCTGCCGAGAATCACAGTTTTTGGAGGTATTTACATCCAACTTATTATTTCAGCTGATACAACTCACGTAACACCTCAAAGTCCGTGTAGTCGTTCTTATTTAAAGACTGTATGTTAGCTTTACACTTGCGACACTTGCTCGATGACATTAATGTGCGTATGTTATTTCTAAGTGTTACTTTTATACCGTACTGTTAGGTATAGTTGTTTGTAATTAATGCAGATATTTTGCAGATTTATTAAAAGATTATTCAAATGAGAGTTATTTTTAACAATTAACCTGCCTATGATCTCCTTACCGTGTACCTGTGAGTTGACAATGCGATCTCCGACGTTACTTAATGTCAATCAATGTCATAATTCGTACTTGACACCTTTAATACTCTGTGAAATTGCAGGTGAAACAGAATTAAATATCTTCGCCAAAAATGGAGAACACAAAGAAGCACAAGGTAGCTCAGGATCAACTAAATGAAGAATCAGCTGCTCTATACATTATTTTGGGACTTGTAGCAGTAAGAATACAATATTCAAGTGGAAGCACCTATTTTTAACTAGACAGTCGAGTTTAGTTAAAATAAAGCATTACTGACTATGAGGTAGTTAATTTATCTTTTTTAAACACTCTTGAAAAATTCACAAAACACAACTGATTCATACAGTTTTATTTATCCTACACGAGCAAGTGCTTCACTTTGTCAACTTCGCGCCTAATTAAAAACAAATAGAAAACACATCCTATGATTCCTTCTTCACTTCACTTGGTTCTATTTCTAAAACATCTTCTTGTTTTACTTCCTTCTCCCATCTTGTTTTTGATTCATCATGTTTCTTGTCTTTGTCAATTTCCTTCTTGACAAGCGGCTCTTCTTTACTCGTCGAGGTACTTCTCAACACTGGATCGATTTTTTCTCTAATTTCTGCCAGGGTTGTTTGATACAATTTGGAAAAAGCCTACAAATAAATCAGTAATTGTTTCTAAAAAATGTTACAATACTTACAGTAATTCTATTGAGGGAATCTTCAGTCGTTCTTAACTTCTCTTTATAATCTTTAACATCCGTATTTAAATGTTTTATTGTAACGTTTGACTTATTGTATTTCTCTGTTAATTTATTGTTTTCGCTCTTCAAACTGACCATTCGACTTTCTGTTTCTAAACGAGCTTTTTCGCTACGTTCCAACTGTGACATTAATTTACCAACATCGACCAAAGCACCTCTGTACATCACCAACCCTAAACAATCGAAGTTAGAATGCCATAATTTATTGATATTATTTACTCACCATCTTCCGAACTTGGCGTTTCATCGTTTCCTGATCCACACATCCTCATCCTCTTAGCCGGACGTTCGTCATCAATAAACGTGGGAAGAAGTTTCCTATTTCCTATAGCTAAATCGTGCAAGTTTGTCTCCTTCTCCGCATCATCAATAACTATGAACTCGTTGCTATCTTTAGGTTTATCGGTCAACTTCCGATAATGCAAAGAATCTCGTGTTACTACTTTACCAACGAGTTTTCGAACTTGTGCTCTGGACAAATTCAAACCCAAAGTGTACAACAAATCCTCTATGTCTTTATCAAAAATGTATCCGCAGTGCGTTTGGTCGAAATAAATAAACGACAACAATAAATGCTTATCTTTGGTGTACATTTTAACCCGTTCCTTTTTCTTCTTTTCTTTATCCTTCTTCTTGTCCTTTGAGTCGTCGTCGTCGTATTCCTCATCTTCTTCACTCTCATCCGATTTCTTATCATCCCTCTTCTGCTCTTTCTTCTTATCCAACTCCTCCTTTTTCTCTCTTTTTTCCTCCTTAGTGCCATCCTCAGATCGCTTATCTCGGTCTTTACCATCCGCTTCCTTCTCCTCCTTTTTCTCCTCTTCCTTTTTCTTGTCGTCTTCCTTTTTACTTTTAGCATCGTCGCTTTTCTTGTCGCTTGAATCACCACCACCTTTTTTCTCCTCCTCTCTTTTCTTTTTATCATCTTTCACTTTATCCGGGAGCTCGAACAAAGCCCGATAGATATTAAAACCGAAGTCTCTCATTAACATCTCGTTGAACAATTCCGCAAACAACGACACTTCGAACGAATGCTCTTTTGTGTCTTCTGGTCGGTAATCTAGGAGCAATGATAGTGACATTGTTGTGCAATCAAATTTTCCTGACTTCGCTGTGCGAGATGGGTGTACTAGGATGTGTTGTTGTTCCGGTAAACTGTAGCGTTTCTCGAGCAAGGCTTTTTCTTTCTCGTCTAGTTTCTTTTCTTCCACCTGTTCAAAATGTACAAATATGTCAATAACTTGAACACAGGGGAGCGTTCTGGAATAGGAAAGTTTCTGGAGCGGAATTATTTGGGGATATAGTTTTTGGAATTTCAGCTATGAATCAGTAACGGAAGTCGTGTCAGTCTAAATCTGGCGCTAGAAGTATTACGAGTAGAATTCTAGTTTAAAAGAGGACAAGAATATGACTTGATAAAATTAATGGTTTTGGTAACGACGGTCAGAATTAGAACTACAATAGTGGTATGTAAACGATGTAGTCACGAGGACGCTCTAGAATAGGAAGCTTCTGGAACGGAACAATTGTGAACATTCCAGAACGAGACAGTCAAAGTAAGTTAAGGTGGCTCCGACTGGGTGTATTTACCTTTTGTAAAAAAAAAGCTTACATTAGTCTTACAACGAAATACAAATCTGATAATTTTGCACTTACGCAAATTATCGATAATAATAATAATTAATATCAATAATTTGATAAGTTCTTTTGTTTTTTGAAGGAAATAGTCCAAATAATTTCAGCCTAATCTTATGCGTTTGTAGTAAATCATCTATAGACCAAAGCTGTACGGTTCTTTGAGAACTATGCTCTGAAATTATTTTAACTATGCAGTATTCTGTTTTTAAGGCGGAACACACAAATTGTTTTTGTTTTTTACATAAACACCCTATATATTTTTACAACATATTTTGATGGACCTCTTCTTAGGCTTTACAACTACAGTTTACTTTTGAAATTCTGATGCGACGTTGCCACGTTATTCCACTTTTCTCGAAATTTTTTGGCTAATCAAGGGTTTCCAGAAAAATCACAGTACGGTTATTTTTAAACTCTGTCTTACAATATTTTATGCAAGGATAAATGAAGTTGTGGTACCAACTAAATAAAATTTTGACAGTGTTTAAAAAAAAATATAAATCTTCCCAATTTACAAATGTCGGTATTTCAGTTTTTTCAAATGGAACACCTGTACTTTATGACTGTTTCTTACTCTTTTTTTTTATTGTTCTCATATGTCGATGTCTCTGTTAAAAAATATCAACTTTAAATGTAGAAAATGCTCACAAAAAAAAAAGAAAACAAAAACTAGAAAAAATGCAGTAACAAAAGACAGGTGTTCTGTTTGAAAAAACTGAAATATCGATATTTGAAAATTGTAATGATTAAAACATCTTTTAAAACACTCTGTATATGAAAATTTAATCTCATTTATGCTACAACAAAGCGCATACCTTTCTTTATCTTTCCACAAAATATTGTAAGACAGATTTTAAAAATAACTCCTACTATATTTTTTGTGAACACTTCCATTGTTAAAAAAATTTCAAGAAAATTGGAATAACGTGGTAACGTCGCATCGTAATTGTGGCTGTAAAGCCTAAGAAGAGGTTAATTAAAGTATATAGGTGTTCATTAAAAAAAAAAATAAGTTGTATGTGACGTCGTAAAAACAGAACACTCTCTATAGTTATAAATAATTTTATATTAGTATGGTCGTCAGAGAACCGTACAACTTTGGCTCTTACTTTTATTTTTCTTTCTACTAGTTAATGAGATATCGAGGAACGCGCGGTTAGTTAATCAAAATATGTATATCTATTTATACCTCTCAAAAAACAGATGAAGTTTTGAGTATTTACCTGAGAAATCGAGATTTTTGGAAAAAAAATCAAAATTGTATATTTTACAACTTAATTTTGAATCTACAAAAACGAATGCGTTGAAATCTTGCAGAAGTTGTATGTACGTTAAATTTTTAATCAAAATATAACTTTATACTGGATATTCTTTATTGAACTTCAGACGACAGAACGACAGAAGTTCAGTCGAAATAACCTTCGAACTTTTTTTTTGCTTTTATCAGTATTAAAATGGTAAATTTTTGGAAGGAAATATGGATTTTGCAATTAAGGGGCGGAGCCTAATTGCAAAATCGATATTTCCTTATGCAAATTATCCATTTTAAACATATTTCAAGTTTCATGTTGTGAAAAGAAGTGTACACATATTAAAACAAAACGGCAAAATGTAAGCCCGCCCACCCACCCCTTCTCAATTGTGATTCTTTTTTATTTTTAGAAAGTCAAAATACTTTTAAAATGGTAATTTTTTTAAGGAAATATGGACTTTGCAATTAAGCTCCTCCCCTAGGTTTGCCAACGAATGAAAACTTCATTACTATTTAGATCAGGGCAGGGATGGGTGGGGCTTAATCTTTGGCTTTAGTTTTTTCTTAACATATGTAGTATTCTTTGAATAACACGATACTCAAAACCATGTTTTTAATTTCTCGTAGAAAAATAAGGATTTTGCAGTTAAGCTCCGCCCTCTTGGCTCACGACCAATAAAAAAATCATCAGAATTGAGACAGGGCGGGTGGGCGGAGCTTATATTTACCTTTTTTTTTCTAAATATACATAGCCATCTTTTGTTAACAAGAAATTTGGTTAAAATGATACATTTTTGCAAGGAAATATGGATTTTGCAATTATAGGTCGGAGCCTAATTGCAAAATCGATATTTCCTTATACAAATTTTCCATTTTAAACATATTTTAAGTTTCATGTTGTGAAAAAAAGTCTACACATATTAAAATAAAAAGGCAAATTGTAAGCCCACCCACCCGCCCTATCTCAATTGTGGTGTTTTTTTTTATTCGCCGTGAACCAAGCTTAACTGCAAAATACTTATTTCTTTACAAGAAATTAAAACCATGTTTTTGACTATCGTGTTGTTCAAAGAATACAATGTATATTAAGAAAAAAAGGCAAAATGGAAACCCCGCCCGCCCACCCTGTCTCAAATGTGACGATTTTTTTATTCTTACAAAACTTAAAACACGTTTAAAATGATAAATTTTTGTAAGGAAATATGGACTTTGCAATTAGGCTCCGCCCCTAGGTCTGCCAGCGAATGAAAACTTCATTACTATCTAAATCAGGGCAGATATGGGTGGGGCTTAATCTTTGGCTTTAATTTTTTTTTTTTTTTTAATATAGATAGTATTCTTTGAATAACACGATACTCAAAAACATGTCTTACATAGTAATTTCTTCTAGAGAAATAATAACGATTTTGCATTTAAATTTCGCTCCTTTGGCTCTCCACGATTTAACAAAAATTATCACAATTGAGACAGGGTGGGTGGGCGGGGCTTATATTTTGCCTTTTTTCTTAATATACGTGTAGTCGTCTTTTCGAACAAAAAATTTAAAACATGTTTAAAAAGGTAAATTCTTCCAGACAAATATGGATCTTGCAATTAAGCCCCGCTCCTCGATCTGACAATGAATGGAAAATTCATCACAGTTGAGAATTGAGAACAGGGCGGGTATGGGAGTGGCCTAATCTTTGGCTTTATTTTTCTTAACATAACATATTATTCTTTGAACAGCACGATACTCAAAAATATGCTTTTAATTTCTCGTCGAAATATAAGGATTTTGCAGTTAAGCTTCGCCGCCTTGACTCACGACAAATAAAAAAATCATCAGAATTGCGATAGGGCGGGTGGGCGGGGCTTATATTTTGCCTTTTTTCCTAATATACGTAGTCATCTTTTCAGAACCAGAAATTTAAAACATGTTTAAAATGGTAAATTCTTCCAGACAAATATGGATCTTGCAATTAAGCCCCGTCCCTCGATCTAGCAACCAATGAAAAATTCATCACAATTGAGAATTGAGAGATCGGGGCGGGTATGGGTCGGGCCTAGTCTTTGGCTCCATTTTTTTTAATATACACATTATTCTTTCAACAACACGATACTCAAAAACATGCTTTTAATTTCTCGTCGAGAAATAAGGATTTTGCAGTTAAGCTTTGCCCCCTTGGCTCACGACAAATAAAAAAATCATCAGAATTGCGATAGGGCGGGTGGACGGGGCTTATATTTTGCCTTTTTTCCTAATATACGTAGTCGTCTTTTCAGAACAAAAAATTCAAAACATATTTAAAATGGTAAATTCTTCCAGACAAATATGGATCTTGCAATTAAGCCCCACCCCTCGATCTAACAACCAATGAAAAATTCATCACAATTGAGAATTGAGAGATCGGGGCGGGTATGGGTCGGGCCTAGTCTTTGGCTTCATTTTTCTCAATATACATATTATTCTTTCAACAACACGATACTCAAAAACATGCTTTTAATTTCTCGTCGAGAAATAAGGATTTTGCAGTTAAGCTTCGCCCCCTTGGCTCACGACAAATAAAAATATCACAGAATTGCGATAGGGCGGGTGGGCTGGACTTATATTTTGCCTTTTTTCTTAATATACGTAGTCATCTTTTCAGAACCAGAAATTTAAAACATGTTTAAAATGGTAAATTCTTCCTGACAAATATGGATCTTGCAATTAAGCCCCGCCCCTCGATCTGAACGAATGAAAATCACAATTGAGAATCGACATCGGGGCGGGTATGGGTGGGGCCTAATCTTTGGCTTTATTTTTCTTCATAACGTGGTATTCTTTGAACAACACGATGAATACAGAAATCGTCAGAATTGGGATAGGGCGGGTGGGCGGGGCTTGTATTTTGCCTTTTTCTTAATACACATAGCCATCTTTTCACAACAAGAAACTTACATAGTTAAAATGGTACAAGGAAATATTTAAATTTGAAAATTAAATTTCTTCTACACAAAAATAACAACTAATTACAAAATTTTATTGCAAATATTAAACTATTATTTAATATTTGAAAATATTAAAGTATGTATAATACATGAAAGAATTAAAAGAAATTGGTCGAAGATTACTTCGACAGAACTTTCCTTGCCCATAAAGTACAGCTTCAAATCCAGCTCTTTCGAAGAATTAAAACATTTGATTTTGTGAATTTTATGGTTTTTTATGGCAACCATTATAACCTAAAATAAAAATATGTATACATATAATGTTTGACTAAAGGTAAAAAAGTGCTAACCGTTTGTTACAAGTGAACTCACTTGTAACAAAACTTTTCTATTACAAAATTTTGTGTTGATGTCATCCACATTTTTGTAAGGACGCATATATCAGTTTGGATAGATGCATTGTAATACTAGTAATCAAATTATTGTTATTCTTGAATAGTGATTTATAACGAAACTAAAATAACGAAACAATTTAATCACGTCTGTCGTATGTAATAACAAAGGTGCCACTGAAGGCTGAATTGAAAATCATTTATGGTACTCGTAATTTAAGACAAATAGCGATAACACATATCAAATTGTAGACGTCCGAGCGAAACAGAAACTAAAGTAAAAGATGTTTTCTACGAATTGCAATAACCGGATCACAATGCCGACAGTCCAGACTTTTTTATTGCTCTGATTTCCGCTTATTGAATAATACACTACATTTTATCTTGATTTTCGATGTTGTAATTCACATTTGGTTAATTAAACTTGTCTAGATCTAGGGGAGGTTCAGCATCCCCTAGCCTCCTCCTAGCTAAGGCCTTGTCTAGGAGTTATGAAATATCGAGAAAATATGAAAGTACCAAATTGCCCTTGTTGGACTTAATTACTGTACGTTCTTAGGTTATCCTCGATAAGAAAAACAACTTGAAAGTGTCTATGTTTATACACTGAACGGCAAAAAAAACCGGCCACCCTGAAAAATTTCACAAAACCAAACTTTAATAATTATTGATTTAACTAGTGATCGTTATTTTATTAAAGAACCATTTGCTGTTGACACATGATGTATAAATTAGCAAAAGAAGACAAATAAACGCAGAATTAAATTTAATTTAACAAAATAACAGAAACAGAGTGACAATTTGAGAGACGTCTGTAAGAGTTAATGGAATTGTTTTTGCCAAATTTATAATCAAATGATGAAAAACACTGTTTACAACAACAGCCTGCTTTATTGTTTTTTGTTTTTTTTTTTTTTTAGAAAATATCATACTTGGTCTGTTTTTGTTATTTTGTTAAAAATTTAATTTAATTTGCGTTTATTTGTATTCGTTTTTTTTTTGCTAATTTTAAAGTGGTTTTGTGAAATTTTTCAGGGTGGCCGATTTTTTTTGCCGGTCAGTGTACATCGGAAAAATGTCACGTAGAAATTAGTTTGATTTGAATGAGTTCATCCCCGTCGTTTACGCTCGGGAAGTAAGAATAGGGTGTCATTAAAACAAAAGTTGAATGTCGTACACAGAAACAAATGAACGTTAAACATTATTTTTTCACATCAGAATGTAGCATATTTAAAACGATTTAATTTGACAATCTGCCCATCCAAATATGAAAATATTTCTACCATATATTTGGGATCGACACTTCGTTCCTCTTTGGAGGACAACGGTCAGAACCATCTAACGACAATGAAACAAAACAACACGCTTGCAGAGCCACCTTAAGCCAACCAGAGTAGCGTCATAACAAAAGTCGTTACGTTTCTCGGTTTCAGACGATGAACCTACCTCGACTTTCTTCTCATCAGCGCTCGTGTCGAAATCCACTTCCTGCTGCACCTCCTTCGACGGGTCCTCCGCTTTCTCCGCTTCGACCTTCAACGCCTTCGCCAGCCTGGCCACCAGCTGCGACTTCAAACCCTTCGAGTTGACGTTCCTCGCTTTGAGCTCGTTCCGCAAAGCGCTGACGACCATCGTCTTTGGATCGAGCTGCGAATAGTGCGTCGGTTCCAGCTTGTCGCTCGGCGGATCTTCTTCCTACAGAAATACAAAAGCACGAGTCAGTAAAAGTCCATCGATCGTAGACGACGCACGCAACAATCGCCCATCACATTCGCTCGTTCGCACTCGTACTGCGCTCATCAACCAGTCACCATACGAGCGGTGGAGGTGGGTGGTGGAGTTAGGCCATTCCATCAAACAATGTTGGTGGTAGAGTGCAGACTGGCCCAGTCCACAGCACTGCGTATACCTAGCCTATCTGTTTTTTATACATAGATTAACAAAATTGATGCCTTTTCGTCAGCTGGCGGTGTGTCGTCGCCGCCCTCCAGGTCGGCTTTCAGCCTGCGTTCCAGCTGCTTCCTGTAGCTCTGGTGGAGGCCGTCCCACTCCAGACGGGTAGGTACGCAACTCCAAACATCTGGTAGAAAGAGCACCACGGTTTCGACCCGCGCCGGTACGGCCCTGCCCTTGTGGGTCGATTCGCTGCGCCGGTAATACAGCTCCACGAACCGGTACCTAATGGAATATAACGAGTGAGCAGGTGCTACTAGCCTTAGCTACCAAACACGATTTAAGCACACCTTTGCAACTTCCGGTCGGCTCCCTGCCGACAACAGCGCCGCCGACAATTATGCAACGTTATCAACGGCATGCTTATGCTACATAATGTGAGATAGTAACGGCCGAAGAACGTACTGTGAAGTGCAATGGGGCAGCGAGTGGAATCGAGAACTCGCTAGCAACATCTGAAAGATGCACTATTCCATACGACTATTCGTCACTTAGAAGAAGTACTAAAAGCACCTACTCTACCTTCGATCAAGGCAATTCTTATGTAGCCAGTAAGAACATTTGTGGTGGGCTAAGTTCGAGTACTAAAATGTGTAAACGTATTCAGGCTATATGGTGTAAATGTATGATTCACAAAATATGTGTTAAAACACGTGGAGGACTAATTTTTAATTATAAATATTTACTTGTTATTTTGTACTTAAGGGAGCCTATTTATTCTGCAATTTTGTGTACACAATTTAGTGAAAATAAAAATAATTATCCAATATAAGAGATTAACGCTGATTATCCAGATGTCGTACGTTTAATCTACTACTTGAATTTAATCCATTCAAGTGAATTTATCTGTATTTAATGGTCCTTAAACTTTAATACCATTCTTCTCTTTTTATGTATTTACTTATTTATTTAGCTGAGATTCATTAAAATTTTAGGTAAATTAATAAAAATGTAGCAAGCACATCATATTTATTTACTTGTATTTAAACAATTTGCCAGTTTCATGTTTTCTCTATGTTTCATGACCCCAAGAGTCCGAAAAAATATTCTTTGGTTTTCATCTGCCCGTCTGCCTATGTCAATTTTTATTAGACAGATAATCTCCGAAACTACTGAGCCGATTGTTGTCGTAATTTGTAAAAAACACGCTAGCGTCAAGACTACAACTGCACTCAAATTTTGTGACATATGGCAAAATTTAGAGAGTGGAGTGGACCCCACTGTTTGATAGTATCAAAGTATTGTTTTATCATCTAAATTACACACCCTTGCAAAGTTTCAAATCGATACGATAAGTACAAGAAGGTTGAAATCGACTTCCTAAATTTGTTTACATAATTTGTTACAAGTGAAACTATTATAGGCGTGCTAAAAATAAAAAACTGGCCTCCTACTGGGGAATATTTTGTCTGAAACTTTCAAATCGATTACTTTTTTACTTTTATATTTTAGGTCAACTAATAAAAATCGTATATTTATCACTTACAAAAATTTATGACGTCATTTCAAAGCAGTATTGGGTAAATCCTACGTTAAATAATGTTAATTTACTTGTGTATTAAAAATTCGCCTCTATTTTTGATTTTCACTTCTCTGAAAAATTATCTATTTTTTCCGATTTTTGTTTTCTGGTAACCTCTATAAAGTAAAAACCAGTGGCGTAAACAACGCTCCCGCAGCTTATTTAACTTGAATCCTTTCTACAATTTTTTTTTGTTCCTTTATTTTTTCGAGTTTTCAAATTTAAATTTTTCAATTTTTCAACTTTCCAATTTAATTTTTCGATTTGTAATTTTTTGTTTCAATTTTTTATTTTCTTTATTTTAACAATTTTTCAATGTTCCGATTTTATAATTTTTGGTTTTTTCAATTTCACTTTTTTTCAATTTTTCATTTCGTCAGTTTTTCAATTTTCAGTTTTTTTTTCTTTAATTTTATGGCATCTCTTTAAGTTTTCATTTTTAAATTTTCCAGTTTCCCGATTTTCAACTTTTGGACGTTTAAATTTAAATTTTTCAGTTGTTCGACAAAAATGAGAAAGTACAAATTATTCTACGTAACTTACATTAGGAGTACAATCCAAAATTATTGAATAATAGATTGACTTTATGTTTTTAATTATAATATCCCTTGTTATTTGCGCCAAAAAATCGTTGAAAGAAAACTACGTATATACAGAAAAAAAAAACAAAGATTAAGCCCCACCCACCCACCCCAATCTCAATTGTGAGGAGTTTCATATGGTAATTTCTTGTAGAGAAACGAGAATTTTGCAACTAAACTCACTATGAATAAAACGTTCATCACAATTGAGAAGAGGTGGGTGGGCGGGCCATATATTTTGTCCATTTTTTCTTAATATACGAAGTCTTTTTTTCCCAACAAGAAACTGAAAACATGTTTAACTATCCTAAAACTAAAAAAAACAAGATTAAGCCCCACCCACCCACCCTCTCACCCCAGAGTATGATAAAACATATCCAGCTTTTTCGAAAAAATTTGAAATTTGATTTTGCGAATTTATTTTTTTTTAGGTAAAAATAAAGATTATATGAAATGTTAAAGTAAATGTAAAGAAGCGTGCTACGGGAACGTTACAAATGCGTTTTTCCTTTACTATTTTACATATTAAAAAAAAAATGGATACGATTAGAAAATCAGGTTCTCATAGATCAATGAAAAACAATGGGAATGACATTCAATGCCACGCTCATTTGTCCTTTTTTCTGAATAAAATAGTACAAAATTTTGTGATGACGTCGTCATTGATTGTTTGCAAGGATAGATGTAGTGTTATACTAATAATAACAGTATTGTATTCCCAAATTTTTAAGTGGAGTCAGCCATTCTTGATTTAATCAGTAAAATAAATTTATTCATTCATTATTTTTTTTAGTTACCCTGTATACGCAAATCCAAAAAATATGATTTGGATATTTTCGATCAGTTCCCCCCACTCCCACTCTACAGAAGAACATATAACTAACCCCAACCACCCACCCGCCTCCATTTCGGTCATTAATTTTATCTGCTTTGAATGAAAGGTGAATTTTATGCAGAAATAAAATTAATCGCTAAAATGAGAAAAAGGAGGGTGGGCGGGGCTAGTACTTGTTAAGATAAAACTGATTTTGGCAAGTTATATACTCTCTAAGAACAGAAATAAACAAAAATATTTTTATTAAAAATTTACCATGTTTACAATAACTTTAAAACATCTGCAAAATTTCAAAGCATTCGATTTTAAAAATTCAAAATTAAATTGAAGAATGTTCTATAATTTTCATTTTTTTTTTTCAAAATATCTGGATGTCTCGGGTGTATGAATGTTATTTTATACCATTTAAAACATGTCATTGTTGGTGAAGATGATTCAACAAAGTTTGATTAGCGGTTTACCAACTACGTGATATTCATTATCATTATACACATAAAATTTTACACAATCATTCCATTAGTTTCGGAGGTTATCTGTCAAACAAAAATAGACACAGACGGCGGACCGATAGACACACGGAAAAGGAGGACCTATTTTTTCGTACTCTAGGGGGCATGACACATCGAAAAAATGTCGCCTGATGGACTTCGATTACAAGACTTGTTTAACTTACGCTTTGGAAGTAAAAATACGAACTCAATAGGGACATCCCCGAGTACAACATTGTTATAACAAGCCTGAAGGACCAAATTCGGAACGTTACATAATATTAAAAACAAAGGGGCTTCCTACTGGAGAGTTTTTATTGAAATGTATTCAAGATCAATTTAAAAAATATATATTTTCTTTTTTATAGTGGCAAGATAAAACAGAAAATATATTTTCAAAATATATAAAGGCCAGTAAATGGTAAAAAAAGTAACGTTGTTGAAACTTTTCTGTTAACAATTTTTGTAAGCTGAGACCTTGTTGTATATAATAGACATAAGTTGAGTAATTTCATGTTGTCAACATTTCATAGCTCCTAGCACATAAAAAAGTAGGTCTCTTTTTTCGTCTGTCGATCGTTTTATTGGACAGATAATTTCCGACACTCTTGGACTAACTTCTATAAAATTTTATGATTTAAAAATATCAAGACGGTAAAGTGCTAACCAAAATTTATCTGAACAGACCTACCAAAAAAAGTTGATCGCGTGATCTCAAATCTTTTCTAAGTAACTCCGATTTACAGCGTGAAAAACAATATGATTCTATATCTGTGATCTATTAATCCGTTCCTATTTGTAACTTTGTAAGTTTTTGGAAAAAAAATCACAATTATGCCACAAAAATTCAGCTACTTTACTTAGAAAATATAAAACAGACTGCTCTGAAATTTTTGAGCACTTTGTAATGTAATAATAATAATTTCTTATAGGAAGTCTCATCGCATTGAATAAGAACGATTCTTGGTATTACTACTATTAATGGTAAGTCCGTAAATTTTACCAATCTATCTTAGAATTTGCGTTTTGGTTTTTTACTTGGACCAGATGCTAGTGTTAATTTAATGATTACAAAAAAGAAATTAAAATTTACTCATTATTCCACTGTAGAGTTAATGACTTCAACTGAAAAATTTATTAAATAAATATTTATTAAAACATGTGCTCCGAGATGCAACACTGTTGTGCTTTGGCAATATATTTTCATTTTGTTTACACAAATGTTTAAAAAAGCCAATGAAGTTGAATTAGTTTTATTAACGATACACTCGATCCCACAAATTCTGCCTTAAAATTTCTGACATTTAAGAAGACGTAAGCCTGAAATTTGAAACGATTAGTTGATAAATCTGTAAAATAACTATAATGTTGGCATTATCTTGTTAGTTTTGCCGGGGTGGGGCTTAATCTCTGTTTTTTTTTTTTAATATATAGAATTTTCTTTCAACAACAGGATTGTTAAACATATTGTCAGTTTCTTGTTGGGAAAAAAAGACTTCGCATATTAAGAAAAAATGGACCAAATAGAATCCCCGCCCACCCACCCCTTCTCAATTGTGATGAATGCTTTATTCAGCGTGAGCTGAAAGGCGGAGTTTAGTTGCAAAATCCTCATTTATCTACAAGAAATTACCATATGAAATATGTTTTTAAAAGATTAGAGTTTTCTAGAGCAATAATATGTTACTATTCAACTCCGCCCCTGCTCTGATTATGAATGAAAAACTTACTTTTTGTTGTTTTTTTTTTTTTTTTCTTTATATACATAGTTTTCTTTCAGCAATTTTTTGCCGCAAAGCACAAGAGATATTCTAATAAAAAACAAAAAGTCAATCTACTATTCAATAATTTTGGATTGTACTCCTAATGTAAGCCACTTAGAAAAACTTGTACTTTCTCGTTTTTCTCTGAAATCTGAAAATTGAAACGTTAAAATTAAAGAAAGAAAAAACGAAAAATTGAAAAATTGCAAATTGAAAAACTGACGAAATGAAAAATTAAAAAAAAAAGTGAAATTGAGAAAACAAAAAATTATTGAAAAATTATAAAAATAAAGAAAATAAAAAATTGAAACGAAAAATTGCAAATGAAAAAAGTCAAAAATTGAAAACTCGAGAAACTCAAATAGAAAAATTGAGACGAAAAATTGCAAATGAAAAAATTAAAAACTGAAAACTCGAGAAACTCAAATCGAACAATTGCAACATCTAGAAATTGAATTGAAAAGTTGAAAAATTGAAAAATTAAATTTAAACTTCAAAACTCGAAAAAATGAAGCAGCAAAAAATGAAAAATTAAACATAAATAAGTTGCGAGAACGTTATTTACGCCACTGGTTTTTACTTTACAGAGGTTATCAGAAAACAAAAATCACAAAAAAGTGATAATTTTTCAGAGAAGTGGGATTTATTTGGCTGCACTTTAGGGGCGAGGAAAGTTCTGTTGAAATAACCTTCGACCAATTTTTTTTTATTAAAAACTGCAGATTAGACATAAATATAAATATGGAAGTCCCCTGGACTCAAGTTTGTTAATTCGAAATATGTATATATTTTTTAAAGCAATATCATTTATATTTAAAACGGGTGTTTTTTTAACATTCCATTTCGAACTCGTTTGATTGTGTTTCAAGAGCAAACAAAGCTCTCTCTATAACTAAATCAATTTTTCAGGGCCCTATCTGCACCCTCCAATTTGTATTTTTCTGTTACTACATTCATTTAGAAGTTCGAATTCTAAGAAGCTATCATGAATTCCAAAACCAGCAACATTCTTTATTTTTTGTAAATTAAATAAAAAGGAGAGGCACGAACTCCACCTTTAACAAAACAAGTCTCTAATCGGACTTTGAAGCAACTGGGGTACCCCTGTTGGCGTTAATGAAGCGGAAATAAACGGAACTTTCTACTTGACTGATCAAAGTTAGGGGTAACAACTGGTCTCTACAAACTTTACATCATTCGCACATCCATTATGGTAAAATTTTTGCACTTCAAGAACAATGCCTTTATAAAATGAAATTAGAATGATCATCACAGTCTTCCGTTTTAGTTGCATGACGTCATACGTACTTGACAAGCATTTTCAAACAGTAAACATACTACATACTTATAAACAACGTAAATTAAATTTTATTGCTGCAGTATTAGACTGCAAAATGGTAATGGCGTTTCTTTTATAAACATACCCACACCTCACATTTAGTTACGTAAATTTTGTGCATAAATCTTAGCGTTTATATTCTACTTTAAAGAATTTATGTTAATCGTTGAAACATCTAAAAATAGCTGGTAGAATTTAGAAAAACTTTATAATCGTGTAAATGTAACCGGACACGTTTCTGACGCTACTTTTGCGGTGGTTACTTTTATTACAGAATAATGTAATAGCTGGATATAAAAAAAATATTAATACGTTAAACTTAATCAATTCTCCGTATTTGCATACACACGCAACGCCACATAATTTATTGATCAGATGATTGCGGGGGATCATAGCTAGTCTGCACAACAAAACTCACGTACATCACTGAATATTTTATGGCCATTTAATTTAATATTCAATTCAAACGTTAACCTACTTGATAAGTTCTTTGTCTGCTACAAAAAAACCGCTTAAGTGTTTATCCGTATTTATTGTCATTGTCCAATGAGAGTTGAGCGGTCTCACCATTGCATTTCCGTTACCAAACCACTTAACTCTCATCAACTATAACCCTTCTATCAACTTCTATAACAAAGCAATTAAAACTTTTACTAATGTTGCAGGAGTTCGTTAGTTTAAATATCTCAACTCAGCATGCCCCATTACATTTTCCCCCAGATTTGGCTCAAAACTAAAGAAGAAAACAATCAAATCACATAGTGTAAAGCAGATGAACTTTCCGATTGAAAGTAAAAGTTACCTTTCAAAATATTAAAATTTGTCCAAAGGTTTACTGTATGAAGCCATAAGCTTAAAAATACTAATCCTTAAAAATTCAGACTAACCATTGTGTGCAGCTTGACAGATCGATTCCGGTGAGAGCCTTGCAGGTACGAATAGCCGTTTTGATCAAAACCGACGGATCCTTGTCAGGATTTTCTCCATCTAAAGACGGACTCCAAGGACCTCCGATGGCCATGGTTTCATTTTTGCCACGCAAACCTACTAAAAAGTTTAACAAACGTGCCGGATGTACGAAATCTCGTTCTTCGCTTTCGCGGTCTCTTTTATCTTTGTCTTCTGCCATGGCACAACATTTTTGGTATAGTTCGTCTAAGCCCGACATGCTCATCAACATGACCTGGAGGACAAACGTTAAAAAACAAACTAACTTGAAAAAAATATACCTTAGCAGAAAAAAGATAATCCGCGTCGGGAGGTTCAAGAATTGCATCGTTTTCAACAACGGGATCGACTTCCTTATTCATGATGTGAAAAAAGCTGGGTTTATTCATGGTGAAGGGTTTGTCTGGAGGAAAGGCATCCACCCAACGGAAATGGGTGTAGAAGAAATCGGAAGGTATGTAGAGGTTAGTGTACCGTCGGCGAATTTCTAGAACGTCGGCTTCAGACCTGTAATAACAACATTAACCAGGATAAACCCTATTATTTACAAGTAATTACAAATTCAAGGCAATTTTTGGAATTTGGACCATATAGCGTGGCACAATCCTCGACCGACGCCTCGATTTAGGCGACCTAGACCTCCTTCTCAACGGCGACTTCTTCTCTTCCTTTTCCCTCTCCCTCAGGCGCTCTTCCCGCCGCCTTTTCCGCTCGATTTCGTCCTCTTCCCTCTCCCTATCCCGCGACCTTTCCCGTCCTCTACCCAGAGCCGCCTTCGGTCTTTGATTGTTCCGTCCGAAATTTCCGTTCGAGTTATCGGACGGGGGTGGCACGGCATTGTACGCGTTTGAGTTGGAGTTGCTATAATTTTTAGAATTATTTGAATGTCTAGCCGAAGGTTGATTTGACATTGGAAGAACTTGAATTCGGGTAGCGTTCCACTTAAAAGGCATAGTAGGATTATACGAGGCTTCAACCAAAACTCTATCGCCCACCATAGGGTTTGAGCCTTTGACGCAAGCGTTTATTTGAAAGAAGACGTCTTCGTCCACGAAACCAAAATTGTCGTGGACCTTGGTTACGGTGCCGGTGAACACCCTCTGCTTGGTGCCTACGTTAGAGTTGTTCTGAACTGGAGGCACTGCCGAAATGTTTTGGGTCTGGAAGGCCGTCGGGTTTAAGCCGCGGGGATTGGGGTACGTGACAGCGCCGACTTGTTGGAAAATCTGGTTGGAGGCTAGCTGAGAACCTAAACCTGGAAACATTGGTCGCTGTTTTATGCAATACTAAACATTATCGACTTAACAAAAATTATAAAAAAATAATTAAGCTCGCAAAATGGTATTTTTGGTTAAAATACAAATTTTTGTAATAATAATAAAGTTTCTTCTTGGACTATTGATTTTCAATTTTGTTGTTCACTGACACCAATATGACCGAAAAAAAAGTCGTCCAGTACGCCATGAAATTTATTTTAAAATATACAATAATATTGGCATTGACACCCAATTTGACAGTTTTTGACCACAAATGTAAAACCCAAAATTACGATACATTTAGTAGTGCCATACGAAAAAAAAGTGTTATCAAGTCAGCCATGGAATTAATTAAAACAAAAATGTATTGACAAAATTTTCAATTTGACAATTGTTCATTTTGGGGTTATAGGAAATTGTTGGCGAAATTTTTCTATCCATCACATTGAAAAGTCACGACCATCCACAGTTTTCTTATTTGTGCTCATTTCAGTAATAATTTTTGGATAATAAAAATTTTACATTCCGTTTCAAGCATTTTTACCTCCCGAGCGAAAGTTAAGAAAGTATTGTATCCGAGCCCATCAGGTGACTGACTCCTTTCATGTTTTCTCGACGTTTCATAATTCCGCAAAAGATAGGTCCCCGTTTCCGTCTATCTGTCTATCTGTCTGCCTTCTGTCCAGATTTTTATTAAACAGATAAAATAACAAACTCCTGTAGTTGTTTTCTATGAATCCGCCTTGAGATTTTCCACGAGGCACCCAAATTTTCGCAAAAAAAAAAAACAAATTGTAAAGCAACGTTTTATACTAATATAAGGAATTGTAACTGGAAAATCGCGCACGTTTGAAGTGGCATGGGGTTTTTTTATTTCTTACACTGTTACTACCATTATGTATACTTTTTTTCTTCCCCAGTATTTTATCATTAGTGTTACACTGCACGTATCGGAATTGACATACGTATCTTTGCTGAAATAATGTTGATCGGAAAATTTTCAAATGGAAAAACTCACTAGAAATAGAGGCATAACTTTGGCCTTTATCAATACATTCATATATTTGGAGCAACTGTTAACGCGTTTCCTGTGATGGGTGAAGGACCAAAAAAAAAATTTTCGACATACTCTAAAACATTTCTAAAAATTCCCAACTGTTAATTGTTTTTGTTAATTTTAAATGATCTTCGTACTCTTTCAGGAATAAATGTAGCAACACTGAAGCTCGTTATAACATTGGCGAAATTAAGCTTTCAATAAATTTTTACTATTTTCTCGACGTTTCATAGCCCCTAAAATATGTATAAAAAATAGGTCTCCCGTTTCTGTCGCCTATTGACGATTTACTAAACAGATAATTGTGAAATTTTACATTTTTTGAAGAATATCGTGCAGGTGGTAAAACACTGATCAAAATTTATCCACTTATCCCTACTAAATTTAGTACTAATCTTTTCAGCAAAAAATTTACCAATTACAAAATTTTACAATTTAATATCTTAGAAACTACAACACCAATTGCGCTGAAATTTTGTACACGCTTTAAGGTTAAGGTGAACATGGTAAATCACTATTCAGAATTTACCTATTCATTGGTTTGAGCAAACTGATTACGCCATCTAAAAATTTTGCAAAGTAAAAATTATTCGAAAATGTGCTTCTTTCTATACATGTATTGGAATTTCTTATACAAAATAGCTTTAAAAAATATATTTAATTAGTAAAACAAAAACTTATCATTTTCTTGAATTCTGGGAACACAGTACTCGTCTTATTAATTACACTGTACCTATTCAAACTGATATAATTAACGTCATCATAAAATTTTATTACGAAACTTTAAACATACACATTATATGCTTATTCACTTGTAATTTACTAATCCACTTGTATTTTTGTTTGGACTTAAGTGGGATTTATGAACTTATGTTGACGTTGAAGTTCCCGTTGACGTTGCTTTTAGAGCTGAAATTGTCATTTATAAACTCCGTTGCCAAGTTACCGTTGATATTAACTTTGATGTCCAACTTTTACCGTATTTAAAGAAAGTTGTAGAAGAAAAGTGAAGGATTTAATTTAAATAAATACTACAAAAGTTTAACATTTTAGACATGTTTTAAGTTTCTTGTTCTCGAAATAAATCTACACATATTAAGAAAAAAAAAGGCAAAATGTAGCCCCGCCCACCCGCCCTGTCTCAATTGTGATGATTTTTTTTTATTCGTCGTAAGCCAAGAGGGCGGAGCTTAACTGCAAAATCCTTAGATCTCTACGAGAAATAAAAAATATGCTTTTGAGTATCGTCTTGTTCAGAGAATACTATGTATATGTATTAAGAAAAAATAAAGCCAAAGATTAGGCCCCACCCATACCCACCCGCCCCGATCTCAATTCTCAATTATGATGAATTTTTCATTCGTTGTTAGATCGAGGGGCGGGGCTTAATTGCCAGATCCATATTTGTCTGGAAGAATTTACTATTTTAAGCATGTTTTAAATTTCTTGTACTGAAAAGACGACTACGTATATTAAGAAAAAAAAGCAAAATATAAGCCCCGCCCACCCGCCCTATCTCAATTCTGATGATTTTTTTTATTCGTCGTGTGCGAAGGGGGCGGAACTTAATTGCAAAATCCCTATTTCTCCACAAGAAATAAAAAACATGTTTTTGAATATCGTGTTGTTCAAAGAATACTATGTATATTAAAAAAAAGCCAAAAATTAAGCCCCACCCATATCCATATTATGATGAATTTTTCATTCGTTGTGAGACCGAGGGGCGGGGCCTAATGGCAAAATCGACACTTTCCTTCAAAAATTTACCATTTTAAACATGTATTAAGTTTGTTGTTGTCGAAATAAGTCTTTATATATTAAGAAAGAGGCAAAATGTAGCCCCGCCCACCCGCCCTGTCTCAATTGTGATGATTTTTTTTTATTCGTCGTGAGCCAAGAAGGCGGAACTTAACTGCAGAATCCTTATTTCTCTACGAGAAATTAAAAACATATTTTTTAGTATCGTTTTGTTCAAAGAATTCTATGTATATTAAGAAAACATTAAAGCCAAAGATGAAGCCCCACCCATACCTACCCTGACCTAAATAGTAATGAAGTTATCATTCGTTGGCAGACCTAGGGGCGGAGTCTAAATGCAAAATCCATATTTCCTGACAAAAATTTACCATTTTAAACGTTTTAAATTTGTAAGAATGAAAAAAATCATTACAATTGGGATGGGGTGGGTGGGCGGGGTTTATATTTTGCCTGTTTTTCTTAATTTACATAGTATTCTTTGAACAACACGATACTCAAAAACATGTTTTTAATTTCTGGTAAAGAAATAAGTATTTTACAGTTAAGCTCCGCCCCTTGATTCACGGCGAATAAAAAAATCATCACAACTGAGATAGGGCGGGTGGGCGGGCTTACATTTTGCCTTTGTGTTTTAATATGTGTAGACTTCTTTTCACAACATAAAATTTAAAACATGTTTAAAATGGAAAATTTGAATAAGGAAATATCGATTTTGCAATTAGGCTCCGCCTCATAATTGCAAAATCCATATTTCTTTGCAAAAATGTACCATTTTAACCATGCTTTGAGTTTCTTGTGAAAAGACGGCTATGTATATTAAGAAAAAAAGGCAAAATATAAGCCCCGCCCACCCGCCCTATCTCAATTCTGATGATTTTTTTTATTCGTCGTGAGCCAAGGAGGCGCAGCTTAACTGCAAAATCCTTATTTCTCTACAAGAAATAAAAAATATGTTTTTGAGCATAGTGTTGTTGAAAGAATACTATGTATATTAAGAAAAAAACAAGCCAAAAATTAGGCCCCACCCATATCCATTCTAACTCAATTGAGATGAATTTTTCATTCGTTGTCAAACCGAGGGGCGGAGCCTAATTGATAAATCGATACTTTCCTACAAAAAATTACCATTTTAAACATGTTTTAAGTTTGTTGTTGTCGAAATAAGTCTTTATATACTAAGAAAGAGGCAAAATGTAGACACGCCCACCCGCCCTGTCTCAATTGTGATGATTTTTTTTATTCGTCGTGAGCCAAGAAGGCGGAACCTAACTGCAAAATCCTTATTTCTCTACGAGAATTTAAAAACATATTTTTTAGTTTCGTGTGGTTCAAAGAATACTATGCATATTAAGAAAAAATTAAAGCAAAAGATTAAGCTCCACCCACTTATCTAACTAGTAATGAAGTTTTCATTCGTTGGCCGACCTAGGGGCGGAGCTTAATTGCAAAATCCCTATTTCCTTACAAAAATTACCATTTTAAACGTGTTTTAAGTTTCTAAGAATAAAAAAAATCATTACAATTGAGATGGGGTGGGTGGGCGGGCTTACATTTTGCCTTTGTGTTTCAATATGTGTAGACTTCTTTTCACAACATAAAACTTAAAACATGTTTAAAATGGAAAATTTGAATAAGGAAATATCGATTTTGCAATTAGGCTCCGCCCCATAATTGCAAAATCAATATTTCCTTGCAAAAATGTACCATTTTAACCATGTTTTAAGTTTCTTGTTGCGAAAAGATGACTATGTATATTAAGAAAGAAAAGGCAAAACATAAGCCCCGCCCACCCGCCCTATCTCAATTTTGATGATTTTTTTATTCGTCGTGAGCCAGTGGGGCGGAGCTTAATTGCAAAATCCTTATTTCTCTAAAAGAAATGAAAAACATGTTTTTGAGTATCGTGTTGTTGAAAGAATACTATGTATATTAAGAAAAAAACAAGCCAAAAATTAAACCCCACCCATATTCATCCTAGCTCAATTGTGATGAATCTTTCATTCGTTGTCAGTTATTTAGAAAAAAAAGGGCAAAATGTCAGATAAAAAACTTGTTTGTGTTTCCGAGACGAAGGAAGTTCTGTACAAATAACTTAAAAAAAAACGTCAATACGCCAAGGATACATCAAGACCACTACTAAATTTAAATTTAAGAGTGGTCCCATGTTATTAGACAGAACTTCCTTTGTCCCTGAAGTACAATCGAACAGATCCAATTTTTTAAGAAAAAAATAGATAAAACCAGTCACGGGGTACGGAAAAAAAAGTGGCTCATGAGTGGAACGAACATTCGCCTTATTAGTAGGCGCGTAACTAGCTAAGCCATCAATCAAACTCTTCTCAACGCTCCTTCGGTTTTAGTACAAAATATTGTTAAGTAATTTAATTTTTTCGAGAATCTGGTTCCCAAGAGTAAAAATTCAAGGCAGATTCATCAGCCAAAAATACAGGAGTATGTTATTTTAGAAAATTTACGTAACATTTACCACGCAATTTTTTGAGGTGACGTTATCAAATTGTTGGTGGGAATGATTAGACAAAAACAACAACCGAACCATTAGTTTTCGAGATTATCGTCAAATAAAAATCGGCACAGACGGTAGACGACAGACAGACGGCAATGGGAGACCCATTTTTTCGTACTCTGGAGGTCCTGATATGTCGAAAAGCATAAAAGTAGCCATTCATTGGATGGACCCTATTACAATACTTTCTTAGCTTATGCTCGAAATTTTTTTTTGTTCACACATCAAGTATAATCGAAAATTTTCTGGCTGAAATATTTTCATTTTCAACGTCTTATTTTTTGTGTAGTTTTGCTACACATCAAACAGTTGAAGCATTAATTTCTAGGTGACAACATCGACATCTGGCTTTTTTTTAAACTCTTAATAATCCCTGCGAACAGGGGTCTGTTAAATATCGACTTCACCAACTGTGCAGTTGAAAACCGTTAAAAATATTTTAATAGGCAGCTCCAAATACCAATTAATCACACAAGTCCTATAAAAATAAACAAACTTATACTTAAAAAAAACCTACTTGTATTTAGAGTGCTTTACAGCTCTCAAATGAAATATTTCAAGAATTTATTAATATAGTATTTACATTTGGCACAATTTGTTTCTACACATATCTCCGTAATCCTTAGTTTAAAAAACAATTACTTGTTTCCTTACAGTGACGATATATTAAAAACAGATTTTAGACAACCAAGTTTTTGTTGTGTAAAAAGTTCTCCACGATCAAATTTTAAATTATTTAAAAAAAATCTTAAATTTTTGCACACATAAAACAGATCGTAGTTCATTCACGAAAAACTAAAAAAAAAAAAAAATCGTTACTACATGGAATCTAGTCTTAATCAAATTTTCATAAACATTTTAAACCTATGTAATACAAAACGTCCTATCAATATTGCATTTGTAGTTTTTGCATTTCTTTAAACACAATTTCATCAATCCCAAACTAAATTTTTATCATTCGTAGCCAATCCACCCATCAGTGGGTCGAGTTAATTTATGCTAATATGAAAAATGGAGTTTGCCAAATTAGACCTCTTGTTCAAACCGTATCACTACTTTCAACAACGTGAACTACAATGAAACAGTAACATGCTTAGCACTAACCTGCAGCCCCCATCGCGTTGTTGGCCATTTGCTGCAGCCCGAGCCCAATATTCTGCTGTTGAAGCCCCATGGCATTCTGAAACACCTGCTGTTGGTGTTGCTGTTGAAACTGCACCATTCCGGACGTGTTCATGTTGTTGAGGGCACTTTGGTTCATGATTTGTTGTTGTAGAGGATTCGGTTGGTTAACAATGTTTGGAGAATTGTTAGTTCGTCCCCACGGAGGGTTTTTGTTGTTGAACTGGCCTATGTTGCTCATGGTATGCGTTCAAACGGAATTATTTAATCGATAAGAAAAGAAACATTCACTTTTGCGCCCTTAAATAATTATTAACGTAACCTTTGAAGAATCTTCGTTTTTCACTTTTAGAAACTATCATCCATTTAACTAGAGAAGTTATGGGTTGTGTACTTATCGTTTTAAAAATAATTTGTTTATGTGTACTATTTGTATAAAGTATAACATTTTTATTGTACGATTATCGCCATTGCATTTTTCACTGTTTTCGACAGCAATGACGGATTTGACGCATCTGCCGGGTTCTGATTTGTTGCTTGTACGCAATGCGCATCTGAAAGTCTGGCTTCTGATTGGATGAACTGTAGGCGGCTGATTTGAAAATACACCAAGATTAATTTTGATTTTCCACACCAACATAATAGGTATATAGACTGGACCGTATTTCACTAACAAATTGTAACAACATAAAAAGAGTCCATAAAGTCTGAGCAACTACATATTTTGTAATCTGTTGCAAGAATGACCCACTCTAACGTAGTTTAAGGAAAAGTTTGTTTTCCCGCTTCTTTTTTTCATTTCTTTTTCACATTTTTTACTAAAAACTATCGTTCTTGAGTAAAAAAACAGCAAAACTAATAATCACGAATGCGAGATTAATTGTGAACATTTCTTGTGTGTGTCGAAAAACAAAAGTGACAAATTCCTTAATTTATCGTGGATTACTTTTATTTGATTTACATGGATGCTTTGGATCGGTTTAATTTTGAATGGTTTGTATAACTATAAACTAAGTAGGTATTTTTGTCACAATATGACAGTTCTGCAAGTTACTTCAAGTTTTTGGTCGTCAACATTGAACATTTCACCGGTTTACGGGTTTGGAGAAAATCTGACAATAATTTTATAGACAATTTCTAGAAAGTATGATTTAGTCCATAGACTTCTTTAGTTAACTAAAAACGGTTATATTTAGACACAATAACATAAAAAATTGAATAGACTATGTATAACATCAAGTTAATTTAAAATAATTTAACTTCAAGCAAAGAACTTTTTAAGAGTTTAAAATATGTATTTTAATTGTGATTATTTTACAAACATTATAAAACAATAATTACTGTTGGTACGACAATCCAGTCAAATCAGTAAAATTATATACAAAAAATGGGATATTCAAAATAAGTTATTTCCATAGAACTTTCCATATCCTTGAATCATAACAAATAACATTTGTATGCTAGAACATTTTTTTAACAAAAAATCGGTTACCAATTTTGTTTAGAATGACGTTAGAACTTCTTGCAAAATAATATTCTATTAAAATTTATTTTTCAAGTGTAATATTTCTTACAGCGTTATTTATCATACTAATAAAATATAGGAACTCATAGTTAATAGATTTCTTAAAGGAACTTGTTACCATATTACAAAAAACATGGAAAGTCAGAGTATTATTTTTCAATCTTATATGTATTTATTTCGTACATTTTTTAGATGAGTTAATCGATTTTTTGAAGAAGTTTTTGAACATGAAAATTTTAATGAAATCCGTGGTCTATACTTTTTTAATGAATTTATAAAGTTTGATTGTCTAATTTTATTTTTCAGAACACTAAAGATTATTATTATTAAACCACAGGTGGAGAAAGCTCTTATCAGTTTTTTGGTGGAATGAAGGAATAATTTTTAATTTAATCAGTTTAATTTTAATAACATACAGAGTGAATCACTAAGCGCTTGTTCGTCAATATCTTATTAATTAGTAGAAAAAAAAGGTCAAATACCAAAGTTGTACGGTTCTTTGTGGACTATATTTTAGAATTATTTTCAATGATACAGAACTTTTTGTTTTTAAGACGTAACACACAACGTAGTTTTTTTTTTAATGAAGCAACGTATTTCAATTGACCTGTTCTTAAGCTTTATAACCACAATTTATTTTTAAAATCAGTTTTTTCAAATATATTTTATTACTGCATCTTATTCTATTTTTTGTTCTCATTCTTGTTTGCTGAGTACTTTCTATATTTAAAGTAGATAGTTACTGCGGTTTTTACTTTTTTAAGACAAACATCGACGTATTGGAAAATGAGGAAAAACAGATTAAGATACAGCAATAAAATATTGAAAAACAAAAAAAATTAATATATATACATACTTGAAAATTCGAAGGATGTAGAATTTTTTTATAAACACTCTGTATATTAAAATTTGATTTAATTGATGCCGCAACAAAGCGGGTACCTTTATTTATCCTTCCAGAAAATATTGTAAGACAAACTTTAAAAATAACGCTATTACGATTTTTTTTTTTTGGAATCCTTTCATTGCTAAAAAGTATCAGGAAAATTGGAACGTCACATTTTCAAAAGTAAACTGAGGTCAATCAAAATATTAGAAATATTTATATGATGTTTCAGCTAAAAACTAAGTTGTGTGTTACGCCTTGAACAGAAGAGAACACTCTGTATAATTGAAAATAATGTTAGTAATTGGTTCTCAAAGAACTTTTCAACTTTAGACTAAGTTTTTTTCTATTTTTAATAATTAATGAGATATCGAGGACCGTGCGCTTATTAGTGACTCACCTGTATACATATACCTAGTGAATGTTAGAAGATGAGTTTTCAGTTCTATCAGTTATGTAAATACTAGGGATGTACCAACTAGTGGCCGACCGGTCGGATAAGCCGACTATTCAGGCTGTTTTTCATCGTCGGCTGGCAGTCGGCGACTGGTCGGCAAAACAGCCGATCGGTCGGCTTTTTTTATTAAAATTAAAATAGTAAGTATATAAACAATTAAACCCAGTTTACAGAACCTCAATTAAATATTTAATTGCAATTTAATTTTTAACCCCGCGTTAAAGTACCATGTGACCGACTCTACGCCAATGAGACGTCGCTAATGGCCTTGTTAAATGCGCGATCAACTTAATCTCAGTTAAAATATTGTATAAAATGGCCATAAATTGTGTTATTCTTTATTTTTGTACTGAGTTACAAAAAAAAAAAATTAAATGTTAAAATTATCCAAGCAAATTTAACACATTTTTTGGAAACGAAGGAACTTTAGTTATTCCTTTTATTAAAATAAAACAAATTTTTAAGATAGTCAGAGAAATAGAAAAAGAACACACTGTCTGTCGCATTTATAAACCGGTTTTAGCAAAGCCGAACAGTCGGCCGACTAGTCGGTTTTTACTGACCGAATAATCGGCTAGTCGGTTAGTCGGCCAGACCTACAGTCGGTACATCTCTAGTAAATACAAATTATTAGGAACTTATTCAAATAAAACTTTTTCTTTAACGGTATAAAACACAATTCAAGCTATTAAAATATAATCAACCCTAATTAAAAGGTTATTTAAGAAGAATGATTAGTTTACAATTAGTAATTAAGCGTAAGCAGTCTTAATCACTTATGCAGCTTCTCTGTGTACACAGGATGATTCAGAGCATTACTGCATAATTTTAATGGCGAATTTTATGGCAAGAAATACGTAAATAATGCTAATGAAAACATGGTGGTAAAGGATGCTGAAAAATAGTTTTGACAACATGGTAAATTTCAAAATTCTGTACTTTTTTATTTTTGAGGAATGATTGTTGTTTGACTACAACTTTTTACTTATTTTTTCCATATAATAAATATGCAGTAGTGCCCTGAATCTGAATATAAATAGCTAATTAGGATTTATCATTGATTTTTGAAGCTTAGTCTTTGCTAGATTACCGTTAATTGAATATTTGACTTGAATATGCAACGATCAAAGACAAATCTTCAGAAATCTTGTCTTTCTTTGATCGTGTTTTTGATTGCCCCTCGACATAACAACTATTAAGAAAGTCTTCTGTGTCTATACTAATCGTATAGATTAGTATCCGGGATCTGATATACCGATAGTCTCGGCTAAATGAACCATGCAAGAAGAAACTAATGGTACTAAATCGGCAGATCTAGCTGTTTTTCAACGGATCTATATCATCTAAACAATCTATTTAGAAAAATATTATCAAAATAGTGCCAATGAGGAGGAGCACCATTGTGTTGCAAGTTGCAACCACATTTGTAGCTCTTCAACATTGAGAAATTTGATCATCAAAGAATAAAGAAGGGACTAAATTATATCTCAGATATTCCAAATAACCATTATCAGGTAGATTGGTATTAAAAGAGAAAATCCCCTACAAACTGATATCAAACACTGATTTTGGGAGGCAGTGAGTGAGTGTGTTATATAATCAACCTTCTATTTGAAAAAAATATTTAGAATAATTTCTTAAATTAAACTAACAAAGTTGTGACGTAGCAAATGGGATAAATTAATTTGTTATAATGTTGGACTGAGTGAATTCTTAAACCACGTTAAAAAGCCTAGTTCAAGCAATACTTTAAGCTAATTTATTGTTGTCAAGAATTTAAATGCCTTACATTTGGAATTCTTTAAAACAACCCCTTTTCAGCGTATTTGCTTTCAAGTGCTTGCTCCGCTCCCTGGAAACAGGATGCTTCCTTCTGACTTACCACGATTACACATTCTGATGAAATTGCCATTATTCTTTTTTCTTTTCAAAAGCATCGATTTATTTTATGGCGCAACTTGAAATCCGCGCCTGTCTGGTGCGAGAGGAAGCTGCATAAAAATTCAAACGAGCGGTCTTTCGCGCCTTGGCTTTAACCCAAAAATAGTGCCAACTGCAGTCTCCTTCTCGCAAAATAATAAATAATGTAAAATTCCCGCCGTCCCTGCACGCAAATCCGTTTTTATATCCGCGGAAACCCCGCCACCGGAAACCCCATACAGTTCGTGCATCGACTCCCACCGTACTTCCGTCAACATGGCCCTCTTCGTTCTTTCTCGTCGTGCCGGTTCTCTCTCCTCGTCGTGTAAAGGCGCATTCGCGATCCAGTGCACCGTTAGTCCGCTATTGTCGTCTTCGCTCCTCGTCAGGAATTTGTGCAAGAAAATGGGTCTCCCAAGAGTATTTTTCGACATGTCTGCCGACAATCAGCCCCTCGGCAGGATTGTGATCGAGGTAAGCGCGAAAAGCACGTTTTTCCTGCGATATATATAGTCGTTAGGCGATTGACATCCACCATGCTTGTTTGCAAGTCACCGGTGCCGGCTGCCGGCAAAGCCTTTCCTTCGGGAAAATTCCACTCCTGACCTTCACCTTTGCCTTCACGTGGAGCGTTGGGCGATTTCCTCGCCTTTCCCACGGCTTTCCGCCGTTTCGGCCGGCTTTCCGCGGCGTGCTCATGGGCGTACGTTGGGCGTCCCCCTCCCGACGCCTTTTGTTGCATTCCGGGCTTATTTTGGGCAATTAGCGGACCTCCACGCCAAAATAGGGCTTCGGTAACAATAGATAAGCGGCGAAAGGCCGGAGGCGGGATTCCGCCGCCCCCGCGTTCGCGGTGTAAGTGGTAATTTTCCGACGTGCCAAATTGATTAGCTCCTGCATTTCGCGAATTATCTCGTTATGTACTCGGTGGCCGACATGGTGAGCTGGTTATCGTGAGACAATCACATTCATTTTAATTCGGAGGCGGTTAGAACGATGGAGTCAGGCTATGATTCACGGTGAAGTAAATTGCGGAGAATGGAAAAAGCAAATTACAGAATCGCCACTTAAAGAATAAAACGATTGGTAAACAGTGACGTATTCAATTGTATAACGTTCTGAAGATGTGTGGCACTAAATGAATATACAACACACTGAAAAAGTCGTGTCCTGTTGCAACGTTGCCGCTATTTTTTTTTTTAATTTTTCCTTAACAGAAGTAGCACTAGCAACGCACTCCATTTTAATTGGCATGCTTTGTAGAGATTTACAATAAATGTGCAAATTCAAGGCATGGTAACAATGACTTCATTGTTTTTTTTACATATGATTTCACCTCTCACCAACAGGATTTTGCACCTAAAACATTCGTTACGACCAGTTCAAACATTTTAAATTATATTCAATAAGCGGTCTCGAATTATCAAAAGTGCCGAACACACTTTCTTTTAGAAAATTAGTAAAAGCTATTTTCCTTTAAACAGAATACACGGTGATGCATTCTATCTCTCTCTCGATATCGTATCTTGGCCGCATAAAAGTCAACGTAGGTTAAGCGAGATAACAGTGGAAACACGTTGTAGTCAGCAATCTATAAAGTGGCACATTTTTAAACAAATGTTTTAAATGTAGTCAAGAGAAAGTCATATAAATCTACAAAGTAAATTTCCAAAATTTCCTACTTGTCATGTTACAAATTTGTCAGTGTCATCGTTGGGATTTCAATTTTGTGAGGTTAAAAAATTGATGACAGACTGTAGCGGGTTGATAACAAGTCCCATTATACTAAAATAATAAAAGAAAAGAAACACCGTTCGCTCGCAAACGATCGCCGGTGTAACGCTCTGAAAACTTTGTAATCTACAGAGAATAGCATAAATTACGAATTGTCGTGTTGTCACCATTGATCAATACGCTAGTAATTTTCGTTACTACTCTAGTTTCACCTATTTCAATTTTTAAATTTTAAATCTTTCAATGTATATGTAGGGTGTTCTGTTTCATTTATAACTGTTCACGTTTTTAGATGACACTTTCTTTTTTTTTTTAGTAAATCCGAATTTAAAATCTTGAAGACAGCTGTAGAAATATTGTTGGTAACTTCTTTAAACAAATCAATCAAGTTTATATTCCCCAAATTATTTCAACCTTTCTTACAATTTTCATGAATGAGTCATAGGAGAAACTCAGTTTTATTCAACCCACAAGCCAAAAGTCACACAATGGTGGGATAACATTTAAATTATTGAACGTTGTAAAACTGGCGGGAAGTCAAATTAAAAATAAAAATGCAGAAATAAAATTTAAAAAATGCCGAACAGGTGGATTTAATTCTCACGCGAACTACATTGTATCAGGAAAATTTTTAGTTGATGATGTCAGAGATGTAATGTCATCGGTATTTGTCCTTAATGGATACTCGAACTTTTATTACATCATCCCAAAGATCACCCGTCGCTAAAATAAAGTACAAATCTTTGATCTTACATACTCATGTGATCGTAGTTACATCAAATTGGTTTTGAAATTTCGTGATTTTGCCGCCTCTTTGTGATGATGATGGTACTCGTCGTCGTCTGTCACAAATGTCAATAATAATCTTACTTTCTTGAACTGTTTCAATGTGTTAGTGTCTAATAAATAGGCAACCAATAATTCAGGTCGAATGGTAGTTTGTTATCTACATCATGGAAGCGGCACATTTTATTAAAAACTCGGTATACCGGGTGTCTTAAATGGGGCATTAACTCTTCAATACGTTATGTAAAAACGTAATTTTATACAAGTAAAATTGGCAACACTGCATGCACCTAATGCGTGAGTACCTCCAGTTATTTTCTGATTTCTTAGTAACGATGGTGAGTGAAATCCACCTTTTATTTGTTGTATACAAGTTATTATTTTTTATTAATAAATAAACCAAAAAAAAAAAATTGAGACATTTATAAATTCTAAACAAAAACAAAAGCGACAACAAAAATCCATTAAAGCATAACCAACTAAACACTACAGAAGATGTTCAAAATTCCTGCCTTGTGAATATAAGTAAGCTTGTAATGTTGCCAATTTTTGATCGTTTTTTTTTTTTAAGTTAGTCATCGTATTTTGTAAGATAAAACTGATTTTGGCATATGAGATACCCTGTAAAAAAAGCGAGGGTGGGTGGGCGGGGCGACTACCTGCTTAGATAGGACTAATTTTGGCAAATGACATCCTCTAAGAAAAGAGAGAGTGGGAGGACGGGGCTAGTACCTGCTAAAATAAGATCAATTTTTTCCAAACAGGAATACCCAGAACCTCAAGATGTTTTAAAATAAAAAAAAATGAGTTCCAAAATTTTCTCAAAAACAAGTCAGGTCAGAATTTTCCAAAAATAGAAAACCAAAGTCCCCCACAATTAATTTAAAAAAACTTTGCGGCACTCCAGACTTTCAAATTCGTACAAAATAAAAACACTAAAAGCTCAAAATCCGCCATTTTCCATACACCCGATATAACAAATTTTCCAAAACCAACTTAAACTTAAGTCAAATGATTTTTTAAATCACGGATTTAAATTAATTCTTGCTTTTTTTTTTTAATTTTCTTCGTGAATACCTCCAGTTATTTTCTGATTTCTTAGTACGATGGTGACTGAAATCCACCTTTTATATATTGTATACAAGTTGTTATTTTTTATTAATAAATAAACCAAAAAAACATTTAATAAGACATTTATAAATTATAAACAAAAACAAAACCAACAAAAGAAAAATCCATTAAAGCAAACCAACTAAACATTGGAGAAATTGTTCAAAATTCCTGCCGTGTACATGTAAGTAAGGTCGTAATGTTTCGCAATTTTGATCATTTTTTGTAAAAGTTAGTCATTGTACTTGGTAAGATAAAACTGATTTTGGCAAATGAGAAACCCTAAAGAAAGAGAGGGCGGGTGGGCGGGGCTGATATTTGCTAAGATATTATTGATTTTGGCATATGAAATACCCTATAAGAAAACCGAGGGTGGGTGGGCGGGGCTAGTACCTGGTAAAATAAGACCAATTTTTTCCAAACTGGAATACCCAGAACCTCAAGATTGTTTTAAAATAAAAAAAAAAGAGTTCCAAAATTTTCTCAAAAACAAGCAGGTCAGAATTTTCCAAAAATAGAAAACCAAAGTCCCCCAAAATTAATTTAAAAAAACTCTGCGGCACTCCAGACTTTCAAATTCGTACAAAATAAAAACACTAACAGCTCAAAATCCGCCATTTTCCATACACCCGATATAACAAATTTTCCAAAACCAACTTAAACTTAAGTCAAATGATTTTTTCAATCACGGATTTAAATTAATTCTTGTTTTTTTTTTTTTAATTTTCTTCGTGAATACCTCCAGTTACTTTCTGATTTAGTACGATGGCGACTGAAATCCACCTTTTATTTATTGTATACAAGTTATTTTTTATTAATAAATAAACCAAAAAAACATTTAATGAGACATTTATAAATTATAAACAAAAACAAAACCAACAAGAAAAATCCATTAAAGCAAAACCAACTAAACACTAGAGAAATTGTTCAAAATTCCTGCCGTGTAAGTAAGGTCGTAATGTTTCCCAATTTTGATCATTTTTTGTAAAAGTTAGTCATTGTACTTGGTAAGATAAAACTGATTTTGGCAAATGAGAAACCCTAAAGAAAGAGAGGGCGGGTGGGCGGGGCTGATACCTGCTAAGATAAAATTGATTTTGGCATATGAAATACCCTGTAAGAAAACCGAGGGTGGGTGAGCGGGGCTAGTACCTGCTAAAATAAGATCATTTTTTTTCAAACAGGAATACCCAGAACCTCAAGATTGTTAAAAAAAAAAAAAATGAGTTCCAAAATTTTCCCAACAAGTCAGGTCAGAATTTTCCAAAAATAGAAAACCAAAGTCCCCCAAAATTAATTTAAAAAAACTCTGCGGCACTCCAGACTTTCAAATTCGTACAAAATAAAAACACTAAAAGCTCAAAATCCGCCATTTTCCATACACCCGATGTAACAAATTTTCCAAAACCAACTTAAACTTAAGTCAAATGATTTTTTAAATCACGGATTTAAATTAATTCTTGTTGTTTTTTTTTTTTTTAATTTTCTTCGCGAATACCTCCAGTTATTTTGTGATTTCTTAGTACGATGGTGACTGAAATCCACCTTTTATTTGTTGTATACAACTTGTTATTTTATATTAATAAATAAACCAAAAAAACATTTAAAGAGACATTGATAAATTATAAACAAAAACAAAACCAACAAAAAAAAATCCATTAAAGCAAAACCAACTAAACACTAGAGAAAGTGTTCAAAATTCCTGCCATGTACATGTAAGTTAGGTCGTAATGTTTCACAATTTTGATCAGTTTTTGTAAAAGTTAGTCATTGTACTTGGTAAGATAAAACTGATTTTGGCAAATGAGAAACCTAAAGAAAGAGAGGGCGGATGGGCGGGGCTGATATCTGCTAAGATAAAATTGATTTTGGCATATGAAATACCCTGTAAGAAAACCGAGGGTGGGTGGGCGGGGCTAGTACCTGCTAAGGTAAGACCAATTTTTTCCAAACAGGAATACCCAGAACCTCAAGATTGTTTTAAAATTAAAAAAAAAAATGTTCCAAAATTTTCTCAAAAACAAGTCAGGTCAGAATTTTCCAAAAATAAGAAAACCAAAGTCCCCCAAAATTAATTTAAAAAACTGCGGCGCTTAAGACTTTCAAATTCGTAAAAAATAAAAATAAATTTTCCAAAACCAACTTAAACTTAAGTCAAATGATTTTTAAATCACGGATTTAAATTAATTCTTTTTTTTTTAATTTACTTTGCAAATTACGAAAATATAATGCACAATACGCCCTTTTTAAATGCAGTTTAAATCAAAATAAAAAACACTGACTACCATAAAATATTTCCAACAAAATAAAACGCAACTTTTTTACTTCAGGAATTTCGGCGATTGTTTTCTCGACATTTCATGACTCCCAGAAAAAAAAAGATCTCCCGTTTCCTGTGTCTGTCGCCTGCCTCGGTCTTATTGGAGATAATCTTCGAAACGATAACCAAAATTTGTCTAATTATCTCCAAGTAAAAATTTTGCGTATTAAATACTATTTAAATTTTATAAAATAGCAATCCTATATTTGTGGTTTATGAATCCACCTCGATGACTTATAGAGGTTATTCGAAAAAAATAAAATTCGCAAAATCAGATTTTATCATTTTTCGAAGAAGCTGTATTTATTAAGAGGTCTAGAGTTTGAACACTGATAATGAGTGTAGGTATTTAAAACACGTGAATATTTTCTATTATAATACGAATCCCATACAAAATATTGAAGAATCTAACTGAAGCAAAATACGATTTAAAATGTATAGCTATATGTTGACATTATTTTTTTGTATAGTATTATATAGTACAGTATTTATTAATATTGATAAATATGGATGGCCCCAGTGAATTATTATACTAATAATAATTATTGTTTGCAATAATTATAATCTTGGATCATTATCAATGATCATTGCAAGTCATTTGTAAGAATCAGAAACAATAAAGGTCCTAAATTGGAACCCTGACAAACCCTAGAATAACTCTTCTACATTGGTGACTTATAACCTGGTTGTGATCACCAACTATGGATTAAAAATAGAAGAAGAAAGTGTGTTGCATATGAATCAAGCGATTTTATCCATTCGTAGAATTTACTCATCGACTCGGCGCCTTTTGTTCAAGAATTTCCGCTCGTGAATAGTCGGTGTTTAACCTGTACCATAAATAATTCTCGTGTTATTTTTTATGATGTATCTAAATTTTGATTATAACAAGCCTCGTAATAAAATTTATTTTTATCACTTTTAAAGATTTACGTAGATGCCCACAATAACTGCCGCTTTGGTATCTAAATAATGAAATCAAGTTTCAAAGACAAAGCGTGTTGAAAAGCATTCTGGCGCCCAAGTTAGGTCAATAAAAATGTATACCAGTCTTGGATAAAAATAGAAACACAATGTTGTCTAATCTATCCTAGATACTTAGTTATAAAATTTTACCAGTTCACATCAAACTTGCATTTTTTAAATTATTTGACATTTAAACGGTGATATTAATTAGTTGTACAAAATATGTGTTTATCTGGCGAAGCATAATCCTGATAAATTGTTCATATTATCGTCATTAGTAAGACAATCATTATTAAAGCCAAATTTCAGTACGACTTTGTTTTGTCGCTTTTTTATATGACCAAATGTTGTACCAGTGCGTATCCGGTAATTTCTATTTTTTATCTTCTATGTATGGTTCTGCATCTAAAATAGTAGCGTTAAAATATGACGGAGTTTATTAATGTGTTTCACAAGATAAATTTACATAACGAGTATGTGGCAAAATTGTTGTGGAGATGTTTTACGTTGGAAAAGCTGTAAACAAAAAATGAAGAAGCTTTAATAGTGTGTATTAAATTCATGATGCACTTTATGTTCAGATAACGTAGAATCTTGGTCAAAAATTAAGAAAAAATAAAAAATTGTTAACTTGGGTGAATCATGTTACATACAGAGTTCCGTACTTGACATCACGCGAACAAGTGTGGGATTCTGTGGCAGTCAGCTGTAGCATGTAGTTAACTTTTACGACCATGAAGGAAGTTCAAGAAATTATAGTGCTTGATTGAGGCAACAAGGTCTTGTTAGGGACCTTGTCGGAACCGTGCCACGAGTTACACAAACACTGGATGGGACTAAACATGGAAATAGCGTTCTGATCGCTGCACGCAGCGGGACCACAATATTAAAATTCCAGTTGTCATTTTAAAGTATTCAGTTGGACTTATTTAAGGCACGTGGTATGTTGGCAATTAGCAGTTAAAAGACCCCGAATCCTAAAACAATGTTCGACGGCGTTACCCGAGGACCATCAAAGTATTCTCACGTTGATAGCTTTCAAGTTGAAAGTCCCGTAATGAAAAATAATTTTAATTTATTAATTAACTTTCCCGCAGGCTCAAAAGACTGTTCCTTCACCACACAAAACGAACGTCACCAGTTGTGAAATTACCGCATTGTTCGTCTCTAATTCCTGCTATACATGCGTGTTTCCGGAGTTCGTAAATGCTTGTCCGCGTACAATATGAGAACAATTGATTCTTTACATGGAAGTGGTGATTTTGCAAACAAGTAAACGAAGAGTACATATATATTTTTGCTTTTTGCTATGACAAGTGTTCTAATTGATTGCAAATATTGTAGCTCCGAAATGACGTGGTCCCCAAAACCGCTGAAAACTTCCGTGCTTTGTGCACCGGTGAACACGGATTCGGATACAAGGGTTCCACATTCCACCGTGTCATTCCGAATTTCATGTGCCAAGGGGGTGACTTCACCAACCACAACGGTACCGGCGGCAAGTCCATTTACGGCAATAAGTTCGCGGATGAAAACTTCACCCTAAAACACACCGGTTTCGGTGTGCTGTCCATGGCGAACGCCGGTCCGGATACCAACGGATCCCAATTTTTCATCACCACCGTAAAAACTTCCTGGTTGGACAACAGACATGTAGTGTTTGGTACCGTTGTCGAGGGCATGGACGTTGTTAAGAAAATCGAGGCATTAGGCTCTCAGTCGGGCAAAACGTCGAAAAAAGTTGTCGTAGCCGATTGTGGCCAATTGTAAATTTTAAAAATCAGTTACTTTTTTTTAATATTTACCTATAAGTTTACAGATACACCTATATTTGACGTTTCTTTTAACTGAATCTTTTTCATGTTTAAATTTTGCTGATGTCCTTATCATTCCATCTAGATTGGTGTATCGTGTATTAAAAAACAATGTTTCCAGTAGGACTTGTGATCAATTTGTCAAAGTTGTTTGCCACTAACTAGGTTTAGTGAATGTCTGCATTTATAATATTTCTACTTCAGATCTGCATTGGATGATGTAACAATGAATAAACCACATTAAACATGTTAATTGTTTTATTAAACCCTTGTCTACGTGTCATGTGATAAAAAACATTGTCAAAATTTAAGCTACGTAAATATACTAACTATATACATGTAATTACGTGTGAAAAATATGTAAAAGGTAAGTGCCAAGGTAACTCCATGGTGTCTGTAGGAAATATCCCAAGCGTATTTTCATACACCCTTATAAATGCGAACTTTAAACGCGATTTGTTGAGACACAAGGTTTGCTATTTGGTCGTGGAAAAAATAGCAGTTGTGTTTTCCAAACAGTTCTTTTTTCTTTTTCAAAGATGTGCATGGTCGTTTGGCGATCAAGCTGCTGCGTTTATTATTCATATCTACAACTTCAAGTTCGAACATGAATCCCTTTTCGAACGGTCCGATCATTTGTACAGTCCATTGGAAATTTTTATCAATTACAGCAAAATTCAAGCGGAATAAACGGTTTGAAAATTTAATGACGTAACATTTTGAAGGTATCTGATGCAATCTTGATGTATCATCAGTGGTGGCGGTTGGGTTATTTTCTTTTGGGGTACTTCGTCGCCGGCGAAATACGGGTTGACGATTACTTGATTGAGAAATAGCACTGGATGTATTTTTAGTAGTAGGAGTTTTTGAAGGAGTTTTAGGAGCAAAATTAAATACTGGAACTGGTTTTGAATTTTTAGGAACTTCAAATGGAATATTAGACGTGACAGTACCAAAAGCACTAGTAGTGCCAAACGTGGCAGTGATCGTGGGGGCTCCAAAAAAATCACCAAATGCGGAAGAGTTGTCAAAGATTGAACCCTTACCCCTACTAGCACCATCATCATACCAAAAACTGGGTGCAGTACTAAAACTGCATACTGTTGTGGTACTGTTAGTAGATGGAAGAGGAGTAGCAAAAATTGATGAACTGCTTGTACAGACTGCAGCATTGATACTAGTGGAAACAGTACTAACATTAGATACATTTTCATTATCTGAATTTTTTACTTCTACGTCTACAATGTTTTCAGTAATTATGGATTCATTATGTAAAACCATATCACTGTGAACATCTAAGACATGTTGCACAATGTTTTTTCCAATACCCTTCCACTTACAATCACAATATTCATGAAGAGGACAATTATGATCACCATACAAACAAGACTGCAAATGCAATTCCATAGCGGGGGGTTTTGACACAAAAATACATCCATTTTTCCTATGTTTACATGGAAAATTTAACAAATTTGCGATTCTCTCTAAACCGAAATTTCTCGTACCTTCAATTGGATTTATCTCACCAAAAAGACTTTTCCGCCCATTCCTACATTCAGAACATATCACTGGTGCTTCCCCCCACAGGCTATTGTTATCTTGACAAAATATTGGAGGCAGTGCAAATTCATTACAAGTTACGCACGTAAACGGAGTCAGTAACTCTTCAAATATCACTTCAACAGGAACAGGAACATGAACAACACAATCCTTAAATTTGATATTTCCAACTACGAGTGTCGTGTCCTTTTTCTCCTTCAACGAATCAAGACAAATTTCCGTTATCTTCTCGTTATTGAACGAAGTTGTACAATCCTCAATTATAACAGACCGGTGAGGTGTTTTAAAACTCAATTCGTAAGAAAACTCATTTGTGTTAACCTCACATTCAATGTGACACAGTGAAAATTTAATCATGTTCTTGGTTGAATCAAACTGTTGCCTAACAATAAACAACAAAGACTCATGTTCTAACAAATTTGTACAATCATAAGACTGTGACAAATCCAGTTGGAATGAGTAGTTTTTAATCATCAGTTCAAAATGTTTATCCTGACAATGATTTAAACAGCTAGGTCGAGCCTCTTCCCAGTCACATTCAGTGAACTGTTTTGTAGGACAATTCACTATGCGAAAGTCACATATCCTTTCATGCTCTGGAATGTCCTGTGGTGGAATACTTTCAGAACAACCTTCATTCTTGTAACGACAAGGAAACTTCACAAATTGTGCCAATGCTTCATAAATTTCGTTTTGGACATGATTTTCCTGCACAACGTGTGGACAACGGCCGCAGATATTTTTCTTGTCAGCATTGGAAACGTAAATTGGAAAATATGATAAATAGTTGCTGCATGAATCACATTTTAATTTCAGCAACGCGTCGCCGGTTATCAGTGATGAGTACTCCATAACTCTGTAAAGTACCGGGGGATAATAACGACTAAAATTTATTGGTTATTGTAGCATACCTGTTGATTCTGGTGTTCTTTAATTACGTTCTGTTTGAGAATTTTAAGTACATACCAGTTTTTTTGAATATCGGAGGTTTAAACTTGCAGCTTATCCAGGATGTGAGATGTAGCCACAGGATGCAACCGCCCAACGGTCGTGTTTTTATCTGGCGGTAGTTTAAATTTAAGGTTATCTTGAGAGCGGGAAAATGGGAGGAGATCGATATCGATCAAACAGTTCGGTGGTTCTAAAAAGGTTGCAGCCCTATGAAACATCCTGTATATATTTATCACAATTCACAAATCAAACATGTTAAATTTGAGTTTGAGTTGAAGAAATATTAAAACAAGTAGAGGTTAACAATATTAATTTAATGTAGGCTAGGCAACACAATATACATTTCAATGAAAACTTAAAAGAATAAAACATTCAAAAATTACTTTTCAGTAAAAAAATATAACTGCTTTAAAGCTGGATGTCAGTTTTTTTTTCAATGTTTTAGACCTTGTGGAACACGCTCTCTCGATAGTCTTTCTGACATCCTGGTAAGACATTAAGCTGGGATTTATCCGCTCCAAACATTTGATGACGTCTCAAAAGATACTCAACACACATCAAAAGTATATGTATTTTATTCTTTGGAGTTACTGACACAGCAAACCTATTTATTTATTGATTAAAAGTTAAAAAAGTTGATTTATCGGTTTATATTTTAGTGTCCGCCGTGAAAGGTTCCAACAAAGAACATGCATTGTGTTTAAGAAAGCAAGATTAATCTAATAAAAGTTAGATCGGTAGTTGACGAATCTAAAAGGAGAAACAGACCGAAACTTCAACGAGTTTTAATATAGTTTTTCCAATGATTAATGTCTCTGGTTTACTGTGATGACATTGTGGTTATTGTGACTCGTTTTTACATTACACGACTGAACGCTTTCAGTTTAGACATTGTTCCCCTCTGGCACTTTCTGAACAACCCCAACTGGCAAACAATAAAACCTACACTCAACAAGACCACAGAACTTTAGATTTAATTTTTGTTGATTGTGTATTTTTATACGTTTAATTTTGTTATTTTTTCAAATTATTTAAAAAAATAAGGAATCTTTTTGAATCAGTTAGGACGTTTACTGGAGGTTATAAAGTAGTTTAGCGCTAATGATTTACATTTCCACGAAGAGAAAACGACGAAAATGATTTTCCCATTACGCAAATTTGACCTAGAATGTGTTGAAAACTCACGATGTTTCTAGGAATTACATGGATCAAGGTCTGACATGGAAAGCTCATATCGATTAAGTAGCTAATAAATAAATTATTACCAATGTGTGTCTACCTCATTAAAAATCTTAAAAAACATCCTTTTAGTAATATAACAAAAACAATTAATTGTTTGTTATTTCGGGGAATTTAGACTTATTGTATGAATTCATACAATATCAGGATCACAATTTTTGTAAAAAACAAAGTTAAGTGTGCTACAAGTTCGTGAATATCAGTCACTAAACACTCGAGTTCTTAAATTAAAAACGCCTATTGTTACGACTGATTATCCTATTTACTAAAATTGTAAACACCATTAACACAATGGGTTTTTATTCGTGTGAACAAGTTTTAATTTATTGATTCAACAATCCAACCGACAGACTTGTCATCAAGTGTTTTAGCACGTGTTGTACCGAGATAGCAATAAAAATATGATCAAAAACGGCCATGATCCCAGCTGTGTTTGATCGTGTCTGTCATTGTTCTCTCGGTATATTCCATGTGTTATTTTAGCGTGTATAAAATGTATCGGGCGGGCAACAAAAAATGTAATTGAGTCATCCTTGGAAAAGTTTTAGCATGTCAGTGATTGAACGATTGAACCACACTGATAAAATCATCTCAAAAATGACAAATGTATGTTTAATAAAGGAAGTATGAAGTTATGAGGAAAACACGAATTAATTTTTTTAAATAAATAAATTTCATCCTTCTCACTTTCCAGCTAAATCAAAAGCAATTGTTTTAACATCTACTAAAGGAGTAAAATTAATTGAGTATGCTGTGGCTATATTAATTATAGGTATAAAGGTGATACATTTACGTCAAAAAATGTAGATAGAGGGTAGGTAGTGAAGTTTACTTGTTTGGTGTGAGTGGACGCGGTAAGGAAGCTAGGTTAAGTTTAGTTAAGTAGTTAATAAAAAAGGGAGAGCCTTGTTTAACGAAAATTAATCGTAACGAGGACGACACCACAGTTTCCCCAACAGCTTGTGGTTTTTCCAAGCGGAAATATGCGATTTTTCAACCGACGCCAACACGTGCTGTAAATTCACAGTGCATGTTAGGATTTTAATCGTTAACTGGTTCTAACACAATTTAACAGTCATAAGATTGTTTAGATAAAGCACTTGCTAGGAGATTTCATGAAATTCACTTAGTCAGGACTCATCCTTTGTTTATCAAATTTTCTGGTTGCTTATACTTAAGTGTTACATTATAACACTTCTTAATTCGTCACACAAGATTGCTAATCAGAATTCATAATATCGTGGACTGAGGTACGAGGGATTCAATTTTTCATATTCTGGATGCATTTTGTGTTTATTTATCATGTGTTTTGTTTAGGATAAGCTGGGGACAGTCCACGATATAAAGTCTCAAAGCTAATTGTTTTAAGTAACCAATCACTTGGATAAAGTGTGGCATAATTTAGCATCAGGTAAATTCTTTGTTTGAATCGTTGATAAAATGTGGCAAATATTAACCTCATGTAATTCTGTTAGGTTTGCAATTTTTCATCTCATGCACTTTTTCTCTATCTCACAATTTTTAACTTTAGTAATTTTATTTGTTGTATAATTTAAATTGGACGTAAATTTTCATGCACTGCAGTTCCTAACCTCACGTAATTCTTTTGTCTGCACAAGTTTTATTTCACACCAGATCCTTTTTGTTTTTCTAAATCTTTGCTAGTTTTTTGACTACGTAAATATTTTGTTGATTAATGCTTCCATCATATAAATTGTCTGATGTCCTATCTTAATTTCCGAAAAGAATTCTTTGTTGTTTCAAAGTTCGCGAGAGTGTATGGCGAAATTAAATGTTGTTTATTCCTCTTTTGAAACTTTAGCACTTGTTCAGTTGTCGTTTAATATCAGGGTTATAGAAAGTGAGCATATAAATGGAATTGAGATAAATAACACATAAACACGTGGCGGAAGCGGAGTGGGCGGTTCCTTGCCGAGCTGGGGATCGCGCCATCTGCACAAAGGATGTAGGTATAGAAAAGAAGTCAGAGGCGGTCGGGATGACGTGACTCTGTCGGCTTGGCCCAATAGCCTGGAGCCAACCACGAGTTTGCAACGGTAACGGCCTGCTTGTGCGGCATGTTCGTAATGGAGATGTGTCGTGCAGTAGTACTTGTCGATAAAATAGAATCACCGTCGTGGGTAGGAGAACAGCCACAACCAGGAGCCCCAAACTCTTTCGTTCTCTTGTTGACTGCCATAATTTAAATTTGCCGCCACACGTCCGTAATAATTTGTGTATTTGCATCCAGTTACTTTAATTCAGATTTTTCTTTGTTTTTATTAAATTTGTGATATTCAAATATTTGTATTGATTTAGGTTTAATTTGATTTCATTCAAAGTCAGGCAAGTTTTTTTTTTGTACCTGAGCATTAACCGGCACAACTTGGTCGCAGCTTTTTTTTCTTTTTTTTTTGTTAATGGAAGAATAAACGTTTTGTGTCCTCGATATATTTTGTGTTTTATTTAGCGGTATTTTTTCAATATTGGAGTCCAGCACTTGCATCTGAACGCATTCTGCCACAAAAAAGAACATACACACACAACGTTGGTTCCATTTTATTAGACGATCGCAGCCAACGCCAAATTTTTGAATTTTTCGCGGAGTTTCAAATTTTTTTTCACATGGCATTTTAAGGCGGGATGTTTGGGTTATCACATAGTCTGTCATCCTTCCTCGGTGATTCTACTCCATAGACAGGTATAATACACTCTCCATATTTGTATAGGTACTCAAAAAACCTGCCGCGTATTATACTCTTTACTCAAACTCTTCGCAAACGAGCCAGCTATTAAATCAAGTTGCGCGTTTCACGCAGATGCTGGTCTCCTCATGAAATGTCAGTATCAACATATCTTTGGATAATGACAAAACCGCAAACTTAACACTGACAGATTTCTCGTGGACCGAAACCTCCACATCACATACAACCAAAAAAAACACACATTCAATGAAGTCAAAATCAAAATCAACTGGTCTCCGAAACGCTCAAGGTCCTTCGAGGATAAATGTTTAAATTCATTGCTTCTGAGTTGTTTCTAGATTTGCTTAATAATTCTCATACTCGTAAGAGTCAAATTGCAATCAGCATCATTATTAGATTTAATTCTGACTTCAAATGAAAGTTTCTCTTACTAATCTTAAATATTTACCTAAGTCCGATTAGAAAATCGGATCATGTGACTTTAAGTTGATATACAGTTTTGTTGTATATCTCAAAGTAAAACTGTTCGTGAGGAGACAAAACTCGGAATTACTACATTATAGGAACTTCGAAGAGTAGAATGAATTTTTTCAAAAAATCAGATCGAAAAAGTCGGCTGTTAAGCCAAGGATAGGACCTAATCTGTTAAGGTTAATCAGGAAAAAAAGATCTTGATAGCGTTTAAACGTATTAATAGTTTGGTTATTAGGCACATATGCCTTCTTCAAATAAGATTTCTGTAATGATTAAAAAAGCCAGAAAAACTAGATCTATAGCGGAGAATAAAAAGTCTAAACATACTGATTTCTTTTTTTTTCTTTTCTTTCTTGAATTTTGTAGCAGCATACAAAATTTTAACTTTAGTAAAGTTAATTTTGTACTTCTTTATAAACTCATTCTATCTACAAAATGAGATCATTTGTATGACCTTCACAATGTTGATACAGGTGCAGTAAAAATAAACGTTCTTATCTTATAATTCGTTCAACAAAAGAAGGGTCGCAGCCGAATTCCTGGAATTATACACTACAAGAATACCATGCTACAAACACCAGCTGATATTGTTAATGGATTTAGTCACTTCTTTAAATCAGTCTATATGTCTCCTAATACTATACCTCTATATTACAACACATATTGACCATGATATTACTGTGGTTATATCAAATATCACTAGTGGTGAAGTTTATCAAGCACTTAAACGATCCAAGAACAGTTTTACATCTGGAGCAGATGGACTTCCAAGTTTTCATTTAAGAGAGTGCGCTACTGTACTGACTGAACCCTTAAGATATCTGTTTAATCTTGTT